AGCTGGCTCACCAAAGGCCTTTGGGAAATGCACAGGCAGATTCCAGCTCTGCATGGGGCTGAGCTTACTTGTTGGGCCTGTGGTTACTTGGTCAGCCCTGACTTGAGAAGAAATCAGAGGGACCTCAGATCCCATTACCAACTCTGAAAGAGGAGGCCTTCAGGGTCTTCAGCAACCAAGACAGGGCAGAAGAGGTGATCAGACAGAAAAGATTGGATAACATAGCACAGCTTTTAGCTGTCTCAATTAATGAGCCACTTCGGATGGACCCGCAAAAGCCCAAGAAGACCAGACAACCAGAGAGAGTGCACTAGCCACAGAGGTATCCAGTGTGCCTCCTGCCAGGTTCTCGGATGGGAGGCAGGTGCCCGCCTCCTGAGATGCAAGCACTTGCTCAGCTTTGGCTTCTGCACGATCTTCACCAGCACTGCAGCTCTAGAAGTGGCAGGTAGGGAAACTGAGTTCCTTATGGACATCGGTGCTGTCTACTCTGTCCTGATTCATCTTGTCAGACTCTCCAACTGCAACTGCATGATAACAGGGACTGACAGTCAGCCTAAGGTAAGAAAGTTAACTTCCCCCTTGCCCATGAGACTGGGTTTAATCCGCTCATTATCACTGTCATTATCACTGCTCAGGATCACTGTCGCCCTAGAAAGAGGGCAGGTACAGGTGACAGTGAGCCCCAAGCTCTTCATTTCTTTTTTTTTCTGGTGATTATTTTATTTTGGCAATCTTTACATAGTTGATTTGGGCACAAAGAATCAACGGCTACTAGGAAAGTACAGGCAACATTGTTTCCATGTTATTATTTTTTTCTGTGTCTGGGGTCAGGGGAGAGAAAAAAAGGAGAAACCCCACCTTACCTCCCACCCATCCCAGGTCCCTAACCTGGGACATGCCCTGAGAGTCCTGCTCAAGCGGTTTTGATAGTTTGCCAGTTCTGAATTGCTGCCAGTCTCGCCATTCCAAGCACGATGAAGTCTCCAGAATCCACTGGCTGACATAGTCCACCTTAGAGTCTCCGTTTGCCCAGATTTTCACTGCCAACACGTGGCTGGGGTGGTTGAATGATTTGTTTTGTCCTCTGTCCTCTGGAGCTCTTCATTTCTTGGCTGAACAAGTTGCAAAGTCGATCCCTCAAAACCCCAGGTTTCTCCACCAAGAGACCCTGGGGTCTTATTCTCTAACTGGATGAGCATACTGGTACCCAGAATGAGAACCGTCTCAAGAGGTTTGTGAGAATGGCAGGTTTCTGCGGTAACTGGAACCCATGTGTGAGGCACTAAAACCTGAGTGAGAACTCACACACTGGAACCCAGGGCAGCAGCAGACTTAGGAGGTGCTGAAGTCAAAGCTGGGCCAAGCTATGGCTCTGGGACTCCAGAACTTAGAAAAACCATTCACTGGGAGCTGCCTGAGGAGTTCTGACTCGCCGGCTAAGGCCTACCCAGAGACTGATGCCTACTAGAATACTGTGTCTTAAGGATTGCCCAGATGTGTAAGAGCAAAGCTACCCACTGCTTATTGGTGAACAAGGCCTCTAAATTGATGCTAGGACAACCTGTTGAGGCACAAACCTTCAGACAGTATTGGAGGTCAAAAAACATCCTTTACTGGCCAAAGGAAGACTAATTGCCAAGGGTCTTTTACCAGATTGCCCTGAGATTGCTTTAAAGGCATGTCAAACTCTTAAACCCAAACACCCTCCCTCCAGCCCAGGTGAGGAGGCCCTTCAACCTCAGTGTGTTGAGACACTGATTAGGGTTCCTCTCCCAAGCATAGACCAGTAAAAGCTCATTAGACCTTTCCATGTTGGTGCCCATTGTGGGAGGCAGAAGTTGGTGGAAAAGGATCCATAATACGGGGGGGGGGGGGGGGGAGCCTTAGAAAGACCATGAAGCAGGTTGCCCTCTCTTGTGAAATGGGTGTCGCAATAATCTTCCAAATCATCCTATCTTAGCTTCCTTGGTAAAACCAATCTGGAGCAAGGGACACACCCAGAAGACGGGCAGGTGAGTTTTACCGAGACGTGCTCTAGAACTGGATCCAAGTACTCCCTGGTACCTTCTCAGGGACACTCTCCCAGCCTCACTCAGAGGGCCATGGGACTTTGTAAACTCCTTCCCTCCTGGGAGAGCACCCCTCATTTTGGACTTGCCAATCCCTCTAGAAAGGTAGAGTGCTTTTCTTCATGGCAAGTGCTACCCAGATCCCCTCAACTTCTCTAGGAATGCACTCTAAGTTACGCGCTTCCTGCAACCCCCATCCTCAGGGAGGGTGGAGCAATGAGCCACCTCAAGGCCACAGAGCGCAAGTTCCCCAGATAGTCTCAGTGTCTGCACTGACCCATGGGTCACCTGGATTTTAGCTCCTTTCAAATGATCGGTGGAAGACACCCCGCCTTTTTTTTTTTTAACCACAGAGCTCCTCACAATTGGGAAGCTGAGGAACCTGGGGGAGATCCAGAGAGCTGTGTGCCCCCGGAAGGAGCTGAAACCGATCTCCAGGGGACGTGGACAGATGAGCTCCAGCATCTCCACATCAGGCCGACACTGGCCCAGGGCTGCAAACCCAACCCTCCGTCAGCAAAGCCAAGCCCCAGCTGGTCCTTAGAACAGAAAGCAAGGAACTTTTAAGTCTCCAAGAATTAAAATTCAACCATCTTTTTTCAGTAGGCAGCACTACACAGGATGAGACTTTAATTCCCGCCCCTTCCATTAAAGATAAGGAAAATAAGCTTCCCTTAGGCGAATAAGACAGGAAAGATGCAGGCGTCATTGAATCACACCCTCTGACTTACTGTGTGTCCCATCCAGTCAGCAGCAACGAGCATCCAGGCGCCTGCTGCCCTGATAGGGACTGCCCCAGTCTGCATGCCTGTCCACAATAGGCCAGTGAGACCCATATGGCACCTTCCTTGGACACAGGGTTGAAGAGAACCAGGTTTTTGAATTTGCAGTATACAAAAAGACAAGGCAGCACCTGCACAGAATACTAAGCCAAGTGCAAACCGAACGGAAATGTCTTATGCCAAGGGGAATGAGCCAGAACTGCAGCCTGGGTGCTGGTGTAAAAACACTATGTAGAGGGCAGTTCATGACGCCTCCTCAGCCCCACAAAAGCTGCTCAGCTCCTAGGAACAGGAGGCCAGTTGGCTGAGTCCTTTTCTGCTGTGCTATCTTATATTTGGGCAGCCCCCAGTAAGCCTTGCCTGGGCAGTACCATGATCTCTTGCCAAATGCTGCTTGCAGGTGACTCAGAAAACTTGGTGTCAGTAACACTTCATTCTGGGCCATTCCTCTAGTGTCCCAGAAGGCCAACGTCTTCCCGTGGGCTGGGGGCACACTGCTGTCTGGTGCGGATGAGTACCAGGGCATCCGGAGATTGCTGCCTTTGTTTTAGTCACCTGGACATTGCCACACCAAAGGATCCTGGTCCTCATCCGTAGGCTTTCTGGAGAGTTCTCTGTGCAGGTAGAATTGATCCTCCCGTGGCTGGCTCTGATTCTTCTGTCTTGGGTCTGCCGTGGCAGTGACCATCTGCCCATCTGCTTTCTGACTTTGAAGATTTCGTTTTAGAGTATTCTTTCTTCTGTGATTATCTTCATTTTTTTTTAGAAAATTGCTTTATTGAGATATTTATATAACAAAATTTGCTTCTGAAGTATGAACAAGGGTCTTCCAAGTATTCACCAAAAAAATCATACTTTGAAATTTTAAAAATGCATGGATTGAAAAAAATGCAGATTTGTCTTGTATTAAAGGTTAACTGGTAGTTCAGTTTTTATGAACTTTTTGAAGTGACTTTAGTGTATTGCAAGTTTTGCAACCATCACCATTGCCTAATTGCAGAACATTTTCATCAACCCAAAAAAGAAATTCATTTCCATTGACAGCAGCTCCTGGCAACCACTCATCATCTTTCTGTGAGCTTTTCTATTCTGATATTGCATGTAAAAGGAAAAGTAGTAAGTATTCCTTTACAACTTAGCTTCTTTCATTTAGTACAGTGCTTAGAAATTCATCTCAGCCATAGCACAAATGAATACTTGCTCTTCTTTATGGCCAAAAATCAGTCTCATACGTGGATGCAGCTTATTTCCACTCTCTTCATCAGTGGATGGACATTGTGTCTTGTGCATTTAGAGCATTCACTGGCAGGCGTGGCGTTTGCCACGGATGTGTGTGTTCACCCACCTTCTGTGTCTTGAGGTCACCCCTGATTGCTTAGTTCTCAAGTGCGTCCTGGGGCTGAGGGAAAACAAGGGCAGTTTTCTCCCTCTCAGAGTTGGCAGAGGCAGTAGCAGGCAAGGCCTGGCTCATCGTTTTCTGAGCCGTGGAATTAAGATCCTGAAGGATGCCAGCCTTTCCCGTGTCTGGCCGGGCTCCCTTTCCACACAAGGGCCTGGGCATAGCACCGCTGCAGCTCAGTTAGGCTCAGGTGTAGACAGTGGGCAGCGTGCAACCGGCCAGCGTGGCCACCACAGTGTTGTTGGCATCTTCATAAACCAGGCACAACCAGACCTGTTGTGATTTTATAACCTTGCCGTGGGGCTGTTTTACCTCTCCTGAGGAACAGTTAAAAGAACCTTGCAGGGCCCGGCGCGGTGGCACAAGTGGTTAAAGGTCCTCGCCTTGCACGCCCGGGATCCCATATGGGCACCGGTTCTAATCCCGGCAGCCCCGCTTCCCTTCCAGCTCCCTGCCTGTGGCCTGGGAAAGCAGTCGAGGACGGCCCAAAGCCCAAAGCTTTGGGAACCTGCACCCATGTGGGAGACCCGGAAGAGGCTCCTGGCTTCGGATCGGCATAGTATCGACCCGTTGCGCTCACTTGGGGAGTGAATCATCGGATGGAAGATCTTCCTCTCTGTCTCTCCTCTCTGTATATCCGCCTTTCCAATGAAAAATAATAAAAATAAATGTTTAAAAAAAAAAAAGAACCTTGCAAACGACGAAAGACTTGTTCCTTCATCTGGTTCCTTCTCAATTGTTTTACAGACTCCTGCAGTTTCTAAATCCAGACCCTTTGAGAGCTGATGGAATCCCTGATCTGCAGCAGGTATTTCAAGCCCTAGAAATGCTAGAAAAGAGGAAACAGTTTTCTCCGTAAGTCCCTCCCTTGCCCCTCCCTACTTGGGATGAGAAAAGAAACTGCACAGGTGAGGGACTTGACATGGAGACAGCTTTTCAGAATGACTCAATGAATCACGGCTTTATATGGTTATTTTAATTTATTTGGCTAATGAGTTAGCATGTTTTCCATGGATGCTGTTTGTTTCTAAGTAAACAGATATAGGTATTTTCTGTGAAGTTGTTGCTCCCCTGTGCTTCAGGGGAGGCACTGGTTGTGCGATGCCTGTGTCCGCTTAGTTGCAGAAGTTGAAGTCGCCTGTTTGGCCTCCCGTCGCGGTGCTGCGGAGCAGGATTGAGCCCTGCTTGACCATCGATACGTCCCCACTCTCAGCCAACCTGAAGAAGGTGAGCATGTTCTGGCCTGGCTCCTGGAGCAGTGCTGTCTTGTTTCAGTGCTTGGGTTTCTAACAGACACTTCTGAGAGCTTCTTGACTTTGAAGTTCTCTTTTGAGCTTTTGCTACTAACTTCTCATTTACTCTGCAGCCCAGGCTTTACTCTAATGAACAGTTGCTTTAGCAGAAGCCGTGTGTGACTGTTTCTTCTCAAGTGTTCTGGAGCCCACTTTGAAGTGTGCCTCTGAAAGGAGGGGTCTGAGGAGCAGCCAGTAGCAGGTGTCACCCATTCACTTTCTGTGGTGGTCTTCAACTGCTGCTTCCACTTGGTAAATCCCAATTTTTTTTTAAAAAAGGTCCTAAACATGTTTAAAGAAACAGATAAACCACAAGGCTGGATAGATGCAAAGACAAGTATTTAGCAGATGTAGATGTCTTCAGAGGACAGAAAGCTGCTGATGTACGGTGGCTGATGAGCACGGAAGAGGTGAGACAGGTGAGGGAGTGAACGTCCTGCCCTGTGTCCTGAATCATGCACAGCTAGTTGGTGTGCTCAGGAAGGAGATTGGTGGCCTTTTCTGGAGAAACGCAGTGACCCTAGAGAAATGGCCTGTAGCTGACACAGTCTGGAATTTGTCGAGTGCAAGTGCCACTTCCTAACCCCTCTTGCTTCAGTGCTGGGAGACTCCCACCCACCAAGCTTCTCATCAGATTTTAGTGTTGTCTTCTGCCGTAGAACAGAAGAAAGCCTTCACATGCACAAATAAAACAGACCAAATCAGAATCTGAAGGAAACAGACAGTGCCAGCAGTGGGAAATGTGGGAACGTGAGAGTGTCATCCGAAAGAAGAGAAGTTATTGCATCCAGTTAGCATGACAGGGTGCTGTGAACAAAAGGAATGGTGAGAAAATGGAAAAAACGTGGAAACCCAAGAGATTGCAGAAACTTCTAAGCAGTAATAGGTTTGGGATACACAAATTAGAACCCAAAAGGCAAAGATAGATATGAAAATAATTTCATATAATATGGTAGTGCAGGGAGGGAATCTGGAGAGAGAAGGGGAAGAAATCTCAGATGAGGTTTCCTTGAGGACCCTGCACCCGCAACGGAACCACTCCAGTTCATGAACAGAACTCCAGCCATGGGGAATTGCAGGCTCTGTGGTCTGACCATGGAGTACAAGTATGAGAACTGGGCCTCCTCAGTTTTTGGTGACAGTGTAGTGGATGGCATGCCCAGTGCACGTGGAGGATATGGCAGTCCATTGGTACCTGCAGAGGATGTCTAGTACCGTGGCAGAGGAAGGAGGACAGAACAAATTGGACAGCTCTCCCAGCCATGCTTTGATAGTAAGTATCGGGCGAATGAGGCTCTAAGGTAGACCGTATCAGCCAATGAATGTTGGAAGGATTTCCTCCTCCTCGGAGCACGAAATAGACAGCACTTCAGAAGTATTGAAGCCACTTGAGCAGAACCCTTGCAGCATGCTCCACATCAGGGGCCATGAAATGACATCGAGTGGCTGGCCTCTGTCCCCAGGTACTGATGCGGTTAAGATGCTGAGTGTGGCTTCTCCCCTTCTCTTCTCCCTTCCCACAGATACAGGCAGAAGGAAAAGAAAAAGAAAATTGGAAATATGGGTCCCGTACACTTTCCCCTAATCCTCTATTGTTCCCACCCTAATGTCCCCATGGGCATACATCCTTCTCAACTATGCAAACATCACCAAAAATGAAAATTTTGTATTATTATTTAAAAATAAATAAAGTGGGCCAATTTGAGTCTGAAAGTGGGATTTCCAGAGGGTGCAAGAAAGGGGCCGGCAGTCCTCTGAGGGATAAGCTGCTGAGAGCCTGCAAGGCAACAGCCTGCCGCAGTCCAGCACTGCCCAGCACTGCTGATGAACAAGTGGCACTGGACGTGCAGACGGCTGTGAGGCAGCTACACCCAAGTGTCTGAGAGATGATGGGAGCATCTGGAAGAAGAAACATCCCCTTCACACGGTCAGCGGTTGGGATGGGCTCAGATGTCTCCACGGAGTCACAGCCGTGAACACTCTGATGAGAGGTTACTTCCAGGGCAGAGGCCCTTCCTCAATCCGCTGGTGAGGGGTGAGGGCAGAATGAAAGCCCAACAGAATGGACAAAGGCATAATCTAAAAAGGGAGCTCCCAGAGTGATAGCCAGATGCCAGGTGTAAAGTGAGCAGCCGTGATGACCTTGGCTTTGGGATTTGGGAAAGGAGCGCATCACAGGAATGGCACTGATGAGCACAGCCTTCTTGGGAGGTTGAATCCTGCAGCTGGAGGACTGTGTTGGAGCATCTGGGTTTTAATGGTGGTTACAGAGGAAATAAGTGAAATAGAAGTTGTTTTTAAAAAGCTTTGTAAGTCAAGCAGGTGAACTGGCTGATTCTTAGGAAGATAAGGAGGAAAAGCCACAGTGATGTCCCAGTGTGCAACCAGACAATTGGGCTATTTTGATTTGGGCTCCAGCAAAAGCAGGAGTCTTACACAGTAGTTGTCCCTACTCGGTATCCCTGGGAGAATGCATTCCAAGCCCCGTGCTGGATGCCTGAAGCCTTGAGTGGTGCCAAGCCCTGTGGTTCGTGCCATCTAAGTGAGTACACGTCACAGCACCTGCAGTGTGAGAGGCAGCGCCAGAGCCAGCCCATGGTGCTTTTCCCTGCCTCACAATTTGTCACAAGATTTATTTTTACTGTAGATCTTTGCATCCTCAGCATGCAATTTGCTTTTTTGTTTCTTCTTGTTCCTTCAGTTGAGAAGTTTGATTTCTTGGATTTGGGATCATCATTCATTAAAAAGGGTTCACCGGAAAGCACTGTGATGCCTTGACAGTTGAGCTGAAAGCCACGGTGGCTGCCGAGAGGCGGCATGTGCAGTGTGGATGTGCAGGACGTGTGATCGATTCACGTGTCCAGAAAGGACAAGAGGAACACCACAGGATTTCATCACACTGATCAGAACATTGTGCAATTAGGAACTTACTATTAGGAACTTACTATTTACTTCTTGAATTTTCCTTTGGCGTTTTTGAGTTGCCGTTGACTGAGGGCATTTGAAACTACTGTAGCAGGCATTTGGTGCTGAGGAAAGCTCAGGGAGACTGACCGAGTTTAGCAGTCGGTAGTGATTACTGGAAATGTGTTGGTTTTACTTTACCTTGTTGTGGATTGGAGTTTTGTTGTTTTCTAGGCCCTTCAGAGAAACGAGTACCCTGGACCCAGCCACACAGAATCCTACTCGTGGCCTCCCATAGCACGTGGCTGTGACGTGGTGGTCATCTCTCACTGTGGAAATGACCCTCTGCTGTACCTCCCGCCAATGCTTACAATTCTGCAAACAGGGAGCTGCTACAAGTCACTGCCAAGCAGAAGCGGAGTGAGTTGAGGACAGTTTTATTTCACAACAAAGCGCGTTAAGTGTCTTCAGTTGCCTGTCCTTTGGTGAAGTGCCAGTGAAATTATTAAGTTTTGACCATTTAGTTTTGACCATTTACAGATGAGAAAATGAAGCTCAGAAAAAGTTACTGGGGTGAATTCACAGCAACTGAGGCCCAAATGATGGGTTGACAGCTGCTTCACTGAGCACTGGCTCATGGGCACAAAATCACGACACAAACAGTTCTGCCGCTCATCCATCGAAAGTAAACAACTGCAGAAAGAATACACTACACTTCAAGTTGTGGACAGAAAATGCCATGTAATAGTTTTTTTTAAAATTATGCCATGTAGTTGAATGACTTCCCTTTGGACATCTGCTTCATATTATGTATCAGTTTAATCAAGTGAATAATTATATTTTTATTAGGAGGGAAAGAGAGGTGAACAGAAGTTGTGCATCCCTGGTTCACTTCCCAGATGCCTGTGACAGCCAGTACCGAGCCAGGTCAAAGCCAAGCTCTTGAAATTCAATCCTGATCTTCCACATGGGTGGCAGGGACCCAAGTGTCTGAGTGGTCATGTGCTGCCTTCCTGGGCATGTATTCGTGGGAAGCCAGAGTCAGAAGTAGAGCAGGGACTTGAACCAGGCACTCTGATAGCGGGTGTATCCTGGGTGATATCCGCTGCTGTCAGGCAACCCCCAGAAATGCCAAGATTCCCAGCCCCCACGTTAGTTGGCAGCTGAGCCCTGCTGGTGAGATGTTGCTGGGTTAAGGCAGGAAGGTATGTCAGGTCCTGCTCCTTGTGGGCAAGGTCACCCTCCTGACAAGACATTTACCTGGAAGCCGGCGCTCAGCTGTGTCTTCCGTCAGCAGACAGCCTGTGCCCAGAGGCGTGTTTGGCGGACACTGCCCCTTCTTCAGGAGATGTCTGGAGGCTGGCGGAGGGCTGCATTTGGAAGGTGGTCTTCTCAGGAAGGGGTATTAGCCTTTGTGAAGGCCTTTGGCAAGGTCGTTTGCTCTCAGTGCAGAGTCTGGAGTCAGACTCCCTGCACTCAGATTCCGTTGCTACCCGGTGGTAGCCGTGCGGCCTGAGACAACCGTCTTACCCCCTGTGCTTCAGACTTCTCAACTGTGAAATGAAGTAACAACAGGCTTTGCTCTGGAATGACTCAAGGACTCAGTTAAGCACTAGGAAAATCAGTCTTAAAAAATAATGAATTTTGTCTACCTATATGATGAGGATGGTGGCAAAAACTTAACACTGCACAGGGAGACGTTCTTGATGTTTCCATGTGCTGTGATTGCTAACCAATGTCCGCAGTTACCTGAGTTTGCTTGTCTTTGCAGCCTCTTGCAGTCATCGTGTGCCCTGGGTGGAAAAAGGCCCAATTTATTTTTGACTTATTAGAAGACTACAGCATGTCCTCAAGGCCTCTTCATCCCATGTTGTTAACAATCGGACTCCACAAAGACGAAGCCAAAAATATGAAGCTCCCCAGGGGGTGTAAGCATCCTTCCCGAGCTGTTGGGTTCCCTGCCTGGCTGGCCGTGTGGTGACGTGGGTATTGATGCCTCAGAGTGGTATCACCGTGCCAGCAGCATGCATTCATCCATCCGTCAGCAGGTTTTCTAGCACATAGAGCATGTGACCACACAGTGTGGACTAAAGCCCTCCTGGCCCCTCAGAGCACGCAGCCTGGTGGAGCCCAGGCACTGGATCAGCAGGGACAGGAAGGAGCCTCTGTGGGCAGGGGCTGCCTTCACTAGCTCCATCAAGAAACTGCTTCTAGAGAAAAAAAAAGGGGGGCGGGGAGAGGGGATTGGTAAAGGAAATGTTAAGAATGTTAAGAGAAATAGTGGAACATCTGAAATTTTAAGTCTGTTTCTTTGCTTTACAATGCAGGTGAGGTGATAGTCACAACCCCACAGAGCCTCCTGAGGCTGCTCACATACCAAAGCTTGCTGTTCCTCAGGCTCTGCCACCTGGTCCTGGATGAGGCGGAAGTGCTGTTCTCGGAAGCCACGGAGCAGGTACCCGGGCATCCCGCCGGCGGGAGGCGCTCAAGGCTGGCAGGACTCAGGGAGGGTTGACTCCTGTCATTAAGAAGAGCGAATGTAAATGTTCTGGAATTTCCTTTCCCCTGTTAAAGTTCTCAGTGGTGAGCTGGGAGATTTTTCTGATTCTGGAAGCAATAACTTTTATTTTAGGTAATTTGAGGAATAGAGATCATTTAGGGAAAGCCCCACCATTCATAATCTCATGTTCAGAGGTAATCACCTTAACTATTGAAGTATTTCTTTTTTTAATTTCCATTTTTATTGCTACATATAGTCTCTATCAAGAACAATTTCAGGTACAGTTTTATAGCTTGCGTTTTTCAGTGAACAATGTTACATTGTTTCTGTTCTACAGCATGACTTTTATTAGCTGTATGGTACTGAATCTATGGGTATGGCATAACTGATTTTTTTTTTAAGATTTATTTATTTATTGGAAAGTCAGATATACAGAGAAGGAGAGACAGAGAGGAAGATCTTCGGTCCGGTGATTCACTCCCCAAGTGAGCACAATGGCCGGTGCTATGCCGATCCAAAGCCAGGATCCAGGAACTTCTTCTGGGTCTCCCACATGGGTGCAGGGTCCCAAGGCTTTGGACCGTCCTCTACTGCTTTCCCAGGCCACAAGCAGGGAGCTGGAAGGGAAGTGGAGCTGCCGGGATTAGAACCGGCGCCCATATGGGATCCTGGGCGCATTCAAGGCGAGGCCATGCCACAGGGCCCGGCATAACTGATTTTAAGATTATCATGTCTTTGGAACCTTAAGCTGGTTTGACATCTTTTTTTTTTCTACCAGTTTTCCTTAGGATCAGTTGCTAGGCAGGAGCTTAGCCAGATCAAAGGCTCTGAATTCTTGTAAGGCATTTGCTAGTGGCACAATAACTTAAAGACAAAGAGCGGAGCCTCAGGTGGCGTGAGTGCTCCAGTGCTACCGCCTGATTTTGTGGGTTTCTGCAGGGCCTTGAACTACTCTGAACTCTCATGTTCTTATTTAGAAAACTGACGTCTGGGGTCATTGCCTGTGCTTATTGGATATGCTACAGGATATTCACATTTGCTTGTGGAAGTGTAGATTGATTCACACTCCCACTGGCTCACCACCCCTGTTCCCTGCACTCATTTGCCCCAGAGTGGACTGGACCAGCTCGGTTTTCTTTCTAATTAGTAAACAGAGGGACCTGTCTCCTTAGCTGGCCCAGCATTTAGCTGATGACTTGTTAAGTTGGACATTAATTCATTTGGATCATTTCTATCTCTTCCCCTATAAGTTGCTTGTTCATTTCCTTCTGTGGATCTGATCGTCTTTGTAACCAGTTTTTAGAAGTTACTAAGTGAACACCTAATCTCTTGCTACACATATCTACCAAAATTTTGTCTGTGCTCCAAAATTTTGATTATCATGGAGTTTCAGAATGTTTATTGACTTCAAGTTTTCTCCCTTTTCGCTTTATCCTTCACTCTGACTTTTGGAAAGACACTCCCCACCTTGAGAATAGAAAACGTTAAATCCCTCACCTTTTCAGTTGTGTCATAAAATGTCATGTTCTCTTCTGAAATAGGATGTAATAATTTGATACTGATTTTTTTAGATGTTTGCTATATTAGATAACTTTAAAAAAAATATTGATGTTGAAGAGAGAGAGTCTGCGCCCCATCAGATCATTGCGGCTGGAGTTCGTTGGAACAAACACATAGAGCACTTAATCCGAGAGTTCCTGAACGACCCCTACGTCGTGATCACAGCCATGGAGGAGGCTGCCCTCTACGGCAACGTCCAGCAGGTGCTGAGCCGTGGGGACGCGGCGGGGTTGGAGGACACAGCACCCACCTTCGTTAGCTGGATGCATACTAAACCATTATACTTGATTTAATAAATAAATCTGTGATTGTGTGTGAATTATGTGAATTTCCAATACATTGCTTGCTGTGTGAGAATCGAAAGCAAAAACACTTTGAAGGTTTCCACATCAATGCTGTTTGTGTATATTGTTACCAGGTAGTGCATCTCTGCCTGGAGAGTGAAAAAACCTCCACTCTGCTCCGGGCTCTGGATTTCATTCCAAGCCAGACACAGAAGACCTTGATCTTCACCTGCTCGGCAGATGAAGCAGACGTCGTATGTAAGGTGAGCCCCACCACACGTTCGAACGTTCTCACTGTCCAAACTCTTGTGCAATCTTGAGTCATCAGAACATGACTAGAGGAGCTGAAGGCACAACGGGGGAATCCAGGTTCACAAGTTTAACACGCGTCTGCAGAGGAGGCGGGCTCTGCTGACCGGAGGCCAGCGCTTGGGCAGCCGCATGGCCGTGTGACAAGCCCTGCACTGCAGCAGCATCTCCCGCCCCATCCCATCCCCCAAGGTGGCCACGGTGGGCTGGGGTAGCGGTGCTGCTGGTTTAGTCATGGCCAGCAGGCAGAGGATCCCATTCAAGAAGAAATGCTGGGGCTTGGGGCAATGGCTCAGTGACTAAATCCTTGCCTTGAATGCACCAGAATCCCATATGGGCACTGGTTTGTGTCATGGCTGCTCCACTTCCCATCCAGCTCCCTGCTTGTGGCTTGGGAAAGCAATAGAGGGCAGCCCCAAAGCCTTGGGATCCTGCACCTGTGTGGGGGACCTGGGAGAAGCTCCTGGCTCCTGGCTTCAGATTGGTGCAGGTCTGGGCTTTGGGGAGTGAATCAGAGGATGGGAGTTCTTTCTCTCCTCCTCTCTCTATATCTGACTTTCCAATATGAATAAACAAATCTGTTAAAAAATGAATGAAAATAGCTTTACAAAATATTTACTTTGGACATGTTTTTATTTTAGATAGAAGTTGTAGAGTTGGGAAAATATTTCTTTGAAGCTTGCAGTCATCTCATTGAGAATGACCGAATCAGGAAAGTAGTGGCCTCCCAGGTAATTTAAAGTGACTTGCATTGATGAATTCTGTAAGATTTGTTTTGTTTTTATATGAGAGGCAGAATTACAGAGAGAGAGGCGGGGAATGCTAGTGCACTTCCCAAGTGGCTTGTGACAGCCATGGCCAGACTGAAGCCAGGAGCCCAGAACTCCACCTCAACCTCCAGGCTTGGTGGCTGGAGTCCACGTATTTGGGCCACGTTCTGCTGTTTGTCCCAGTTGCGTTAGCAGGGAACTGGATCAGAAGTGGAGCAGCTGGGACTCATCCAGTGCTTGTTTGGGATGCTGGCAGTCAGAGGTGTGGCTCCATGTGCTTTCCCACAACGCCAGGCCTTAGGCTGAGAATCCTTGACGGAGCGATTGGCTTCAGTCTTATTCCTGTCTGAGCCGGCCTCTTTGGTTTCTTATCCAGGTAGTAGAAAGCAGTTCCATATTTTGCTTGAAAATGCATAAAGAAACAATTTTTAACTTAAAAAGTGTTTCGGAGCAGTGGAAGAAGAAGCTGAGTTCTGGCTCTCAGGTTGTTCTAGGTAAGTGTGCGAATTCCTGCTCCTCTAGAGAAGGCTGAGGTCGTAGGAGTCACATCTTCAATCCTCCACACTGGCATTCCTCATCTCCAGAGTTCTCATTCTTTCCTAGCTCGCTAGTTTTAATCATCAACTGGAGATTAGCTTCTGCTACAAGTCTCATGTGGAGGTGAATCTAGGTGCCTCCCCTACCCCAAGAAACCCTTAATACAGACCACCTTCCTGGGGTTGAAGATCGCTGTCCGATGGGCAGCTCTGTGAGGCTCTCAGGTATGTACGGAGGCAGCCTACCGTGCAGGATAAAGAGGCCGAGTTCATTCTAGAAGGGAGACCACTCTTCTAGAGTTTAATTGCTACAGGTTGTGGCTTTAAACAAACAAATAAACCAATGGGAACGGAGTCTCTTTGCCTGCAGAGGAGTGATGTGGTTCCTGGAGCCCCTGCCCACATGCCGCTGTTGGCATCTTGTCCTCCAGCCCTGACGGACGACTGCATCCCACTCCTGGCCATCACGGATGCCACGTGTGTGATTCACTTCAGCTTCCCTTCCTCGCCAAAAGTTTTTGGTGGGCGGCTGTACTGCATGTCTGATCACTTCCACAGCCTGACCGAGCAGGTTTGCTTACTTGTTGGATATCTTCAGAGTGTTGTGGGTGGGCATTTTGTGTGGCATGACAGATTTCTCCATTTAGACTGGCGTGGGTGACCCCTGCCTGTGTTCACCCTGGCGTTAAGGGTTCTCCCGCAGAACAGGGAGACAGAAGGACCAAGTCCGTCCTGCTGCTCACGGAGAGAAACGCCAGCCAAGCCGTCGGTGTCCTGCGCTACTTGGAGCGAGCAGAGGCCAAAGTCCCGTCGGAGCTGTATGAGTTCACCGCAGGGGTTCTGGAAGCCAAAGAGGATAAGAAGGCCCAAAGCCCGCTTTGTCTGTGCCTGAAAGCTTTTGGATTTTGCAAGTAAGCCGGTGTCCTGTTTTAAAAGTCAAGTGTCCCATGCCCATGAGGTGCACAGCTGTATAAGGTGTAGCCGGATGTGTGCGCCCTCCCTGTGCTGAGGGGGCGCCAGCGGTGGCCACCCTCCAGGCAACCATCAGTGTGGAGCAGTTTTATTTGCTGGGAATGCCAGATAAATGGAATTGTAGTGGATGCTCTTTTGCACTTGGCTTCTTTCTCTAAACCTGGTGCCACTAATATCCATCTGGGTTAGCGTGGGTTTCTGTATTTTACTGGATGGAATTTGCCACTGACCATTGCATTCTGTGACTCTGTCACAGTGTGTGTCCCTTGTCTTACTGGTGGGCCTGCAGACTATTGCCAGTTTCTGACTGGTGTGTTTGAAACCCCTATAAGCATTGTTATTCATGTCTTTTTGTTGGCATTTGCATTCGCCTCTCGTGTGTGTATTAAGGGGTGGATTGCTAGGTCATGGGCTGGGCAGCCATCTGCCTTGTCCCAGTGGTTCACCTGTCATAATCATGATGGCTGGGACGGCAGTTGGGCTTGCTGTGCCTGGGGTGGAGTGGCACACCGCTGTGACTTCAGTCATGTTTGTCTGATGGTTGGTGGTGTCGCATGCCTTCTCCTGTGCTGTGCGACATCAGCCCATTCTCTTTGTGAGGCACCTGTTCAGGTTATTGACTGTTTGAGATGAGGCGTTCATCTTATACTTACTGGTTCATGGGGATGACTTTATATAACTCCCTCTGGTGCACACACTGAGAACGTCTTCTCCCAGGCTGGCTGTAGCTTTCCACTGTTTTGTAGTCTCTTCAGGTTGGTGTCAGTGTGTCCTTATATGGGAAGTATTTGCTTGTTTCAGGGCTTGAAAGAAATTCTCCTTTATCTTCTTCCGGCAAGCTTGCTAATCTTAGCGTGTGTTAAGTCTGTGACCCACGCTATGCCGGCTGTGTGTGTCGGCAGGCAGGGCAGGGCTGGCTTTGGGCCTCTGATGCCCTTTCTTGTTTGTTTAATGAGGCCAGTGCTGGGCACAGTGGGTTAAGCTCTCACCTCTGACAGCAGCAGTCCGTGCTGGAGTGCCTAGCACCTGGCTCCCTGCCTCTGAGCCAGCTCCCTGCTGAGGGACCTGAGCGTGAGGGCCATGTGGGTGACCTAGAGGAAGCTTCAGGTTCTTGAACTTGGCTGATACTGTGACCACTTGGGAAGTGAATCGACAAATGATGATCTCTTTCTGTCTCTCTCTCCCTTTCAAGCAAATGAGTATTTTAAGAAGAATGTCTAGAGAAATAATATAACTCTTTTAAATTTATTCAGCGTTAAATCTTAGAAACCTTTTGATTGTTGCTGGTGGGTTATTTTTTATTTATTTGTTTTTATTGGAAAGGCAGATTTACAGAGAAAAGGAGAGAAATGGAGATATTCTGTCTGCTGGTTCACTCCTCAAGTGGCTACAATAGCCAGTCTTGAGCTGATGCAAAGCCAGGAGCTTTTTTCAGGTCTCGCATATGAGTCCAGGGTCCCAAGGCTTTGGGCCATACTCTACTGTTTTCCAGGCCACAAGCAGGGGGCTGGATGGGAAGTGGAGCAGCCAGGACACAAACCAGCGCCCATATGAGATCCCACTGATGCGTGCAAGGCAAGGATTTAGCCACTGAATCACAGCACCAGGCCCAATTATTGGTAGTGTTATATCAACTATTTAATATGGTTATTTTTAAGGTGTTTGAAGTAGGCATTCGCTGTTGCTTGTAGGTTAATTTTCTAAAGAACACTTCTTATCAGCAATTAATCCTTATCAACACTTATTGCAATTTTTTTCTGGTTATAAAGTCTAATGTTCTCTTTCTCAGAGATCAAAGGGTTTGTCCTGATCGGCACCACATTAATCCAGAAATAGACATGCCCAGGGAATTATCCAACCAAGCCCTGCCCACGTCTGGATACATTAAAGTAAGTTGCGAAAAAACTTTTTCTCACTGACTACTGTGCATCTTAATGAAGGTATTTTATTTGTAAGTACCATAGTCCTACTGCAATGTAGTCACAACTTTGTAGTCAGTGATAACGTACAGTTGTTGATCTTAGAACAGGTGCTGCATCCTGTGCAGCTTAGAGTGGGGTAAAGAGGTTAGACAACTCACAGTGAGAGACAGACACAGCTAGAAGGCAGAAGCCAGAGGGGGACCCCTCCCCACAAGCAGGGGACAGCTCGACGTCTTCAGAGGTGCTTGCATTGTTCGGGCTGTAGGTGGACCCATGATTGAATCACTGGCATTGTAAAGGAAACGGAGGCACCTGTGCGGCCTCTCGCTGTGGATGCTGTGCGCCACCTTGGGGCCCTCCCGGCAGCACCATCCTCACCAGATCCAGATCCTCAGATGATAGGACCAGTTAAAAAAATTGTAATCCATTTCCTAGAGTTACAAGTGTACACACACACACACACACACACACACACACACACACACACACACACACACACACACACACACACACACACACACACACACACACACACACACACACACACACACACACACACACACACACACACACACACACACACACACACACACACACACTTTCTGTCCTCTGGTTCACCCTCCATGTGGCTGTAGCAGTCTGGCCCAGCCAGGAGCTCTGGGTCTCCCACAAGAGTGGTGGCATGTGGGAGCCCAAGCCCCAGGGCCACCCTCCCCTGCCTTCCCAGGCACATTAATGGAGAGCTAGTTCAGAAGTGGGGCATCTGGGACACGAATCAGTGCCCTGTTGGGAAGCCAGCATTACAATCTAACCTACTGCATAATGCCGGCTCCTGCTTTTGTCAACTCTACTCAGAAATTTGCCTGGTTTTTTATTTATTTCTTCTTCTTACTGTGTTTTAAACAGTTCTTTCTCCTCTCATATGTGTGGCTGAGGCCAGGAGCCTAGAATTCAAGCTAGGTCTCCCGCATGGGTGCCAGGGCCCTGGGCTCCTGGGCCATCACTGCTGCCTCCCAAAGTCTGTTTGGGAAACCATAGGAGTTGTAGTGGGAGTCGGATGTAGACATCGTAACAGGCCTGTTAGCCTCTGAGCCAGACATCCGTGCCTGTTAATGCCACTATTACTTAAAGTTTATTTTCCAATTGTTATGTTGTTTTAAGTAGGATTGATTTTTGTGTCCTTCCCTTGAATCCTGCAACCACAATGAGTGTAATTGACTTTCTGCCGAGGTCCTGGGGGAGTGACATCAGGGTAGCCGGGGAAGGATGGCTAAGGAGCTTCCTGGCGTCTGGAGACCAATGTGCTAGAGCCGGAAGGTCCCAGGCTACCACGGTGATGAGTTGGTCACACCCTGCAGAGGCCATCGCTCCCCGCCCCCGTGCAGGCATCCAGCCCACAAACTTCTCTGGGCGCCTCCCTCTGCCAGGTCATTTGTGCTAGATGAACTAGTGCCATGTGAGAGCTGCTTGTGGGACTGGGTTGTGTTCATTCCCAAGCATGCTGAGGAGCTCAGCCTAGCACACAGAGCCTTAGGTCTTAGGGGCCTGGCGCTGGAGAACTCCCCACCATTACCGTCATCTGCAAACCATCACCGCTAGCATCTTAGCGTATTTCCTCTCCTCCGTGGCTTTTTTCTGCATTTTTTTTTACTGTTTTGCTGCCGCTGTATGCACTCAGGGTACACCAGTTAACTTCTCATCACCTTGCGGTTTTCTCATCCGTAAGCCACCTCCTACTCAGTGACTGCCTGCACCAGGTGGGCTGAAGCCTGGGGTACAGGTGGAGGGACCTCTCTCCACAAGCGGGGGGCCTCCCTTTCCCAGAAGTTCCCAGGCCATGACTGTTTAACCAGGAAGGAGAACTGAGCACACTGCCTGAGGAGGGGCGGGCTAGAGGATGCTCCGGGTTACCATGGAGCCTTCCCTTAAACTGCTGGCTAAGGGGACATGAAGTTTGCTGAGCTTGGGGGCAGGTATTCCTGTGGAGATGGTCAGCAAGTGACACGTGGATGAGGTGATGCCAGCCAGCAGCAAGTGCTGTGGAGAGCATGAGAGGCAGTGGCGTGCCAGGGGGTGTCTTGGTGTGAGTGTTCTTGGGGCGGGAGGCCCTTGGAAGGGCTAGGTAGGGAGGTCTCTGTGCAGAGGTGTCAGCCAGCACTCAAGCCTAAGTAACTGGAAGAACCCAGCCATGGAAGGATCTGAGGAAGCCGGTCTCAGCCCAGGAGCCAGCAAATGCCAGGGTCCCTCGGCAGGAAGTCCCTGGCAGGCTGCCGCAGGACGAAGTCCCTGGTAATGATGGGGAAAGTGCCAAGTAATGAAGTTAGGAGGGGTTGCAGAAGAGGCTGTGGACATTCAGTCCCTGGAAACCCCACATCCCTTTTGATCTCCAAGGGTGACCTCCTCCCTGTCTGCCTCTCCAGCCTTACTCTCTGTCAGCACCGACCTCTCCCCCATCCCAACAGAAGCTTCATTTCCCTGCTGCCTGCCAGACAACATGGGCTCCCTGCCTAAATGTGACTTAGTTCCTCTGCCTAGAATACCCTCTTTATGTGCTGGCAGGTGTACTAGTGGCCCCTGGTGCCTCACCTCAGCACTCCTCATAGCATACCCCAGCCCTGCGTACACTCAGCCGAGAAGAGCTTAAAAAAATTAAAGATGTGGTTTATTTGAAAGACCGAGAGAGAGGGAGACCCAGAGAGCTTCCATCTGCTGATTCACTGCCCTTGGGGCCCTGACATCTAGGGCTGGAGCCAGGAGCTTTACCTGCTGTGCCACAGTGCCGCCCCAGAGCTGTCTTGAACTTGCTGTGGCTGTAGGCTCTGCCCCTGCAGTCGCCGAGGGCCCCTGGAGGCTGGTCTGCAGAGGCTTTTCATAAAGTACTTACAGTTACATGGAATAGAGTAGAAGTGTGTCAGGAGACAGCAGTGCCTTTCTAAGGAGAAATCTTAGGAAAGAACAGTTGAAAGTTAAAGGGAAGCCACTCATACCTAAATAAAGGTTTTAAAATAATGGAATTTCTGGCTGGTGTTATACAGTGGGTTAAGCCGCTGCCTGCATGATGCCTGCACCTCATGTGAAAATACTGATATGATCCCAGCTGCTCCACTTGCAATTCAGCTCCCTGCTAATGCGCCTGGGAAAGCAGCCCTGCCTGTCCTGTGAGAGAGCCTGAGGAGTTGTCTTCAGGCTTTGTCCTGGCCCAGTACCAGTCATTGGGGCCATCCAGGGACTCAGCCAGCACATGGAAAAATCAACCGCCTTCTCTCTTGGTCTTGCTCTCTCTGTCACTCTGCTTTTCAAATAAGGCAGATTTGTAGAGAGAAAGAAGAGATAGAGAAAAAGGCCTTCCATCTGCTGGTTCATTCCATAAATGACCACAATGGCCAATGAGCTGTGAAGCCAGGAGCTTCTTGCAGGTCTTCCGTGTGGGTGCTGGGTCCCAAGGCTTTGAGCCATCCTCTACTGCTCGCAGGCCACAAGCAGGGACTGCATGAGAAGTGTGCAGCTGCTGCAGCACGAACCCATACCCACATGGAATGTGTGCTTGCAAGGGGAGGACTAGCCAATTGAACCAATCACACTGAGCCATCAAATAAATAAATAAATAAATGTTTTTAAACGAGGGAATTTTTAAAAAGTCTGTTAAATGTAAAGTGAGACTGCAATTTGTAAGTATAATGACACATTGTCTTGCTGACTGGTCCACTTCCTCGTTCATTTTTCATTCCCCGTTGGCGTGCTTTGAGATCTGAGCTCGGGTACTGCTCTCTGCAGACACAGGGAAGCGTGTACGTGCTGGGTTTAAATTGTTTTCTGCGTTTGTTTGTGTGTTTCAGATAATACCATTTTATATTTCAAATGCAACCAATTATTTTGGCCGTATAATTAACAAATGTGTTGATCTTTATGCAACTCTTAATGCTGAAATGACTGAATATTTTAAGGATTCCAATAATAAAACAACTGTGGAAAAGGTGGAGAAATGTGGATTGTATGGATTGGCAGAGAAAACACTTTTTCACAGGTAAGATTTCTGAAATGGTGAGGCACAGGGATTCTTTTTGTCATTCCAGTGGCTTTGAGGTCCTCCTGTCTGCTTGTTTGAGGGAGTGTGTGTGCTAGGCCTGGGTGACCCCAGGAGGGTGGTGAACCCCAGCCTGGTCTGACGTGTGAGACTCGGCTCTGTGCCACCCAAGGTGTTTACTGAGCTGTCGCCCTGTGTGACACATACACACTACCTCGTTTCTGTAAGGGTAGCATTCCCATTACACAGAGAAGCAGACTGAGTCTGGGTGAGGTCACATACATTACCTAAGGTCCGCTTGGTGCATGCACAGTCAGCGCTCTGGCCCCTTGGTCTGCCCACCTGCTTGCTGTGCTCACTGACTGCACTCCCAGGGCTGCTGCTCACTTGTCCTGGGCATCAGATATGGACGTGTTAATCGGCTGTTGGCTGTGCTGTCCTCAGGGAAAGGGGATTTACTTGTTCAGGAAGTAGTGCATGCTTTTAGATGTCAGTGTACTTTAAATGACCCTGTTCCAAGTGCTCTTGAAGGTCCGCCTTTTTATAATACATAGCACAACTCTACCACATAGGAGTCTTTTTATAGGTCCTCCTTGTAATGGGCAAGTTGAAGCCAAGGTTATGGCTCTGTAGAGTCTGTATGTTAAACTGATGCTGTTGTCGCTCTCTAGGGTTCAGGTGTTAGAGCTGAACCAGAAAGAAGACACTTGGGCTCTGGACAATGTCCTGGTGAAGTTCATAGACGAAGGCAGGACCGGACTAGTCTCCAGAGAGCAACTGTGGCATCTCCCAGAGCAGTTCCACGCTCTTCCCCCCCAGGCTGTGGAGTTCATTGTTTGCAGGGTGAAGCCCGCTGATAATGAAGTGGAGTGGAACCCAAAGGTGAGTGTCTTCAGCTGTTTGTTCTGCCGGCTGTTGGGCGCTCTGGGGCCCAGAACACACTCGGTCTGGAGGCTCCTCTGGAAAGTGCTTCACGGCCCTTGGCAATCCTGCTCTGGAGCATCCCAGCTGCCACCCAGGGCAGACCCGCCTCTGAACCCAAGAGGTTCCGGGCTCTTGACGCTGTTGCCCTCCTCACCACTAGGCCTGCAGCCTTCCAGCCGGCACAGAGTGGAGGTGATGGTGAAAGGGCCATCGGCTTCAGGAGAAGAAACTGAAGCATACACTACACGGGTTGCATACAGAGAGGCAGAGGCAGATTTCATAGTCACAGGGGACCCAGATGATGGGCGTGCTAGGAGACACCAGGCAATTCCTGTGACATTGGTGGGTGGAGCAGGAAGGAGAGGTGGCAGCCAGAGAAGCTTCTAGAGGAAGTGACATCTCCTTTGGGCCCTGTGGGTGACTAGAATGGCAGTCCAGACAGGGCACTGCGAGACAAGAAATTACTCCATGCCCAGAGAGGAAGCACAGCAGAATGATACCGTGTGGCCCCGTGTGTCTCAGCCTTCCTGCCAGGAAGGAGCCAGACACAGGCCTGCACATTGCCAGAGCAGTGAGGTGTGCGCCTGATGATGCTGTGGGCATGGCACAGTGGGACTCAAATCATCAGTGAAGCGAACTGACAGTCTCACCTGAGTGGCTATCAGCTGGTTAGCCGAGTTGGCTGCTTCACCAGCCTGACTCTGGTCACAGGTTTTACAGTGATGGAGTGAGTGTGTGCACTGAGCCATGATTAAACAAAACAGACTTATGTGTGATTGTCATCCACAGTGAAAAGCCGAGAATCCCAGAGTAGCTAACAGACTCAACCAGCCCGAGTGTGGCCACAGGTCCCAGAGTAGTGAGCAGGCTTGATGGCTGAGGACGGGACTGCGCGAGACCCCGGGCTGTGGTCTGCCCCGTGTGCAGAGGGATCAGCCGACTTTGGGCTGTTACTCTCCTAGACGTAGACAGCCTTACATGGGCTTACATCGCAGTGTGTGGCAGTTCCTTGGTCACAGTTGAATTTTTTGAAAGGTCCTGTCACCTAGGTATAGCTGGCAGCGTTGTCACAGCTCCCACAGTGTCCTGGCTGACTTGGGCCTGTGCACCCTCTGTTCCCCTCTTGCGTCCTTGAAGCACAGGCTAAACTTTGTAGAATCTGATTATTGGGATATGGAAGAAGCCATTAGAATTGGCAGAATGAAAAGTTTGGGTTATAAATAAGGGTAAACACTGCCCAGGAAATAGGCAAGTGAATGTTTGCACAGTGCAGGAGAAACACACAAAATAGCATTTATCAAACAGAAGACTTTCTTATTTATTGTAAGTAGATACTGACTGCCCACCATGGGCCGTGTGCCATGTGCCGTGCTGGGTCATGTGGAGGCAGCCAGCTGGCAGGAAGGTCATGGTCTTTGTCTCCAGGAGTAGCTGGTGTGGGAGAGACCCCCGAGGAGCAGTCTGTAGAAAGTGGGCAAGGGCTGCCCTCTGGGTCTTTTTTCTGAATCCAGTGATGGGGTTGGTGAGAGGTGGAAGTCATCTCAAGCTGATGGGCCAGCTCCCCCCGTTGTGCCTTGCTGCCATTGAAGTGGGCAAAAAAGCCTGAGATGTTCCTGGGGCTCTCAGCAGGGTGCGTGCAGCACCAGGTCCTCCGTGCCGGCAGCTGCATGCCCTGCTGCGCCATCCTCTGGAGTGGCAGGGCACCGCTTCCACTTCATGGAGCTTTCAAAGACATGGTGAGAGCCAGTAGAGGACAGGAGGCTCACAGGACACGGCCTTGGCTGTTCTAGGGCCTCCGGGCACAAGGCCGCGTGCATCTGCATTTGTCTCCATGATACTCTGCTGCTGTATACCCCCGAAGGGAGGAGGGTGATGAGCTTGTAACCCTTGTAAGTTGTCAGGCTCAGATGACTTGTTTGGGATCTGGTGGTGCCAACATCCCATATGGGCATCAGTTCATGTCCTAGCTGCTCCGTTTATGATCCACTTCCCTGCTTACGGCCTGGGAAAGCACTGGAGGATGACCCAGGGCCTTGGGCCCCTGCACCCATTTGCGAGATCTAGTTAAAGCTCCTCGCTTCCAGCTTCAGCCTGGCCCAGCTCAGGCCATGGAGGCGTTTGGGGACTGCACCAGCACATGGACATTTCTCTCTCTCTCTCTCTCTCTCTTTCTCTCTCTGCCTTCCTCTCCCTGCCTCTCTCTTCCCTTCTCCTCCCCACCCCCGCCTCCACCCCTCCAATTCTGACTTTCAAAAATATGGACAAAACAAAAACATAGGCCTGGCTTGATAGCCTAGTGGCTAAACCCTTGCTTTGCACACACCAGGTCCAATTTGGGTGCCAATTCATGTCCCATCCAGCTCCCTGCTTGTGGCCTGGGAGAGCAGTGGAAGATGGCCCAAAGCCTTGGGACCCTGCACCCACGTGGGAGAAGCTCCTGGCTGCAGATCAGCTCAGCTCTGGCTCAGCTCCAGCCGTGTGGTCACACAGGAAGTGAACCAGCAGACGGAAGATCTTTATCTCTGCCTCATCTCTGTAAATCTGCCTTTCCAATAAAAATAAACCTTTAAAAACGAAACAAAGCATGACATGTTTGGCAAATACAGAGTCTGGGAACTTGTTAAACTTCAAGTAAATAACTCACATTTTTTTTCAGGTTACTAGGTACATTCATCATAAAATTATTGGAAAGTTGCATGATGCAAAAGTAATACTGGCTTTGGGAAATACAGTTTGGGTTGACCCAATGGTAAGTGTGCCATTTTCTTAAAAGGACATCTCTGGACTCCTAAAGTTACCCATCATTCTTACCTGTAGCTTGAATAAGTGAAGTGTTTTCATGTTACGTTTGGTTGTGGGTTTAATTTCTGGTGAGGAAACATTAACCAGTATCTCCTGTGTGACATACACACACAAACAGCTCAACAGCCGGACAAGAGTTTGACAAGACTGTCTCACTACCGTGACTTTCTCTACTGTTGCATTCCTCTTTCATTTTGTCAAGTAAGGATCTTGAAGCGTTGAGCTGATTTCACAGGGTACTGTTTGTGCCCTCCTGAGGCCCTGGTCCGTGACTGCTGCAGCCATGCACATCTCTCCCGCCATGAGTGGTCCCAGGAGCCAGGCCTGCTGTGCTGGGCTTGTCATATTCTCTGCTTCCTGCTGGTTCAGTCATGGAATGTCTGTTGGACACAGCAGGGGTGGGGAGGATGGGAGACAAGGAGCTGGCACTCGCAGGGCCTCTGCACCCCTCACGGATGTTGATGTTGGCACATCTCCATGGGCTCCCCAAGAGCTCCAGTTGCCAGTGCAAAGTTTTGAGTTCAGGTTTAACACGTTAGAAGGGGAGCTTGAGCCCAAGATTTAAGGCAGGAGGAGAAAATGGCTTTTAGAAGGGATTATACAGTTCACAGACACGTGACGAGATTCGGGGTCTTCATTGATGTGCAGTCAGTGTTGTTACTCTTCAGTGCTGCAGTGTTTTTCTTTAGGAATGCGGAACGTGTTTCTGGAGGAGGGAGTTTTTAGAGCTCCAGATAAAAGAATGCAGCAAACCAGGAGAGCCCAGTGGCTGGTGTTTCCGCAGCTGCACTGTGGGGAGCCAGCCCTGCCCTTGCTGCTTCCCCCAAGACCAGCTCTGACCCAAAAGCTCTTGGAGAGCTTTCCCACACGCACCTTGACGGGGACACGCGCCCAGGGCTCACTTGGGAAGCAAGCAACAGGGTCGGCTGGCCCACTCTTCCAGCCTCCATGAGAGGGCCACACAGCGCTGTGCCCACGCAGCCCTGAGACTTGGGGATGCTGCTGTTTTGCTTAATTCTGGGTGAACTGAACTGGCTCGGAGGGCTCCGGGCCACAGGACCCTGCCTGTGAACAGAGGTAAAGGCAGCCAGGGTAAGATCAGGAAAATAATTTCCTGCTTGGTTGGAGATTTTTATTCTGGGACTGGATGTTGGTCCCACTCCCTCCCTGATTGGATTTCTGCAGCTGGACCTGAGCTCTGGAAGATTCGCAGGCAGCCTGGGTTCTGAACCAACCCTTAGCTTGCAGCTGGAGCCCTCGCGCCTGTGACAGGAGCCAGGGTGGTCAGGGTTGCAGGGACAGGCCAGCGGCTCAGTGAGAGCGAGTGATCCGGTTACAGTTCAGAGTGTGGTCCTGTAAACATTGTTTTCTCTTTAATTCAAGGTGCATGTTACAAAACTTGCAAATTTGAAAACATCTGTCATTGATTATAACGTTCGAGCCGAAATTTTGTCAATGGGAATGGGCGTTGATAACTCAGAACATGTAGAACAACTGAAAAAGTTATACAAAGAAGCGAAAATGCCGACTTCTGAAGGAAGTCCAAGCCACGCCCCGTGAGTTGCTTTCTGCCTCCGTTTGGAAGAGCTGTTCTGTAGAAAGACTGAGCACACTGTTATGTAGAAAGGATAATTTGCATCTGCATGTTCCAATCACTCGAACTTTGATAATTACCAAGGTTTGGGGGATCTTGTTTGATCCGCGCTCTTACTTCTTGAGGAGTACTATGAAAAGTCCAGTACTTCACTTGTGTTTCTTAAAGAATTAGTGCCTTTTGGGCCTGGTATGGTAGCCTAGCAGCTAAAGTGTCTTCACCTTGCATGCACCGGGATCCCATATGGGCACTGGTTCATATCCCAGCCACTCTGCTTCCTTTCCAGCTCCCTGTTTGTGGCCTGGGAAAGTAGTTGAGGACAGCCCAAAGCCTTGGGACCCTGCACTGCACGGGAGTCTGTCTCCTGGCTTCAGATCAGCTCAGCTCTAGCCATTGTGGCCACTTGGGGAGTGAATCAGCGGATGGAAAATCTTTCTGTCTCTCCTCTCTGTAAATCTGACTTTCCAATAAGTAGATCTTTAAAAAAGAATTGTTACCTTTTTATTATTATTATTATTAGCTCTCCTACAGAAGAGTGCTCACGCCCCAGTGTGCAGTGCGATGGATTTCCTGAGCGCCCCTGGGGGAGCTAGTCTGTGGCAGGAGGACAGTGTACGCTCGGGGCTGCTGGTGGGGAAGCACAGAAGGGGATCCTGGCTTTGTACCGGAGTGGATCGTGCAGCGTCTTGATTCTGTGCCTCACTTCCCTGGTGGCGCGGCCTCGTCCTGCTGCGTGGGCAACAGCCTGGGCTCAGCTCCCGCGGCGGCACCCCGTCCCTTGGTGGCGTCCTCTGGAAATGCCATCATCCGTTTGCCCATTGTCATCAGGAGTCCATCCTTGTGTTACTGCGAGGAATGGTTTTGTCCTACATGTCTTTTGGTGCACTTACTGATACTTTATAAAAAATATTTGTTTTTATTTGAAAGACAGAGTTATAGAGAGGAGAGAAAGAAAATTCTTTTTTGACTGCTGTCTCATACCCCAGGTGACCACAACGGCCAGTGCTGAGCTGCTGCAAGGCTGCGAGCTGGGAGCTTCCCCCGTGGGGATGCCGGGCCACAAGGCCTTGGGCTCTGGCAGAGCAGCAGAGATGGCCCATGTGTGACGTTAGCGCTGTGACTGGAGGCTTATCTTGCTACAGCACAGTGTTGGCCTTACTGATGGCATTTTAATAAAGCAGAACGGCTGGGTTATGATGAGCTCTGGAATCCAGCAGTTTTCATAGGGGCTGCCCACTGATCCACCCCTCGCCCGCCCAAGCAGCATTTCTGAGACTGAGGAAGTACTCTGGCAGCCTCCAGCCTGTGTCGGCTGAAGGATCTGGGGTGGCAGTCCTGCCCGTTAGGACACCTGGCAGGAAGGGGGACAGACTTGAGCAGTCTGTCCAGCTGATTCTGAGGTCGCTCACCAAACATCAGAGAAACACAAATTGAAACCACAGTGAGCAGAGCTTCTTAAATCGGACTAGATTGCTTTTAGGGCAGCTTGGAAAATCACAGTAATGTCTTAAATGGTTTTTTTCATTGTGGTAAAATGCACAGAGTATGAAATTTGCCATTTTAACTGTTTTTAGACCTCCACTCATTCGCAGTGTTGCGTGACCACCACCACTCCACCACTGTCTCTCCTCAAGTCTCTACATCTTCCCAAATTGAAACCCACCTGCCGGACAGGGTATCCGCTCTCCTCCACAACATTCCCCACTCCCTCTGTTCGTCTCTGTGACTGCCACAGCCGGCAGCTTCCGACCGCCCGTCTGCCCTCTCTGCCTGCCCTGGCTGCCCCGTCTAGGTGGGATCGGACAGTTTAGCTCGTAGCTCGTTTTCAGGGTTGAGGATATTCTGTGCCCGTGCCCCCATGGTCTGTTTACCTGTCCAGCCGCAGGTCAGTCACACTGGTGGGAACGCAGGCATCTGTTTGAGCCTTGCTTTCGCTTCTGTGGGCAGGTGCTCAGAGATGGAGCACCTCTGGTGATTCTGTGTGGAATTTTTGAGGAGGACCCTCCCCCCCGCCCCCCGGCTGCCATGGCTCTAACTCTTCACATTCCTGTGGGACGTGACTCAGTTTCTCCAACCCCCACCCGGGATAAGTTCAAGGTGAAGAGCAGGTTGTCTCAGGGTTCTTGGAGCATGCGTCTTGCCTCTGTGCACTTGTGGCTTTCTGAGTTCCCCTGAGACATCACTGCTTGTGCATGCCACACTGTCCTGGGCTGCAGCCCGTCTAGACGGTTGTCTACTGTCTCCATCATTTGTCATGTACCAGAATAGGGAACGGCAGGAGCCCGACCTGGCCCTGTAGCTGCAGAGGATCCACTGCGGAGCAGTGCCCACTGCTCATCCCAGCTGGGTTTGCACTCTGACAGAGAGGAGCATCCAGTCCTGCAGGTATCCCCAGACATACATAACTGGGGCACAGGAACCGGATGCTGCCTGTGTAAGACCAGAACCACTACCACCAGACCCCCCGACAAGTTTGGAGATTGATTTCTCTTGATTGGCCACTGGAACACTGTAGGGCCTTCCCAGGAAGTAAAGAAGTTAATTAACTCAGCCCCGATCTGTTGGTGGTGTTGATGGTGGTTTGTTGTGTTTTGTGTGTGTGTGCATGTATATTTCTGTGGGGTTCAAGACGTCTGTGTGTTTCCACACTAAGAGGCCCAACTACCTGTTAAATCAAGTAGCAAGTAAATGAACAGATCAGTCATTTTAGCTGAAGTTCCCATCAAATAAGTTTTAAGTTTTGAAACTCAGTCCATCAGGAAAGCTGTCGTGCCTACCTGCTGGGGATGGAATAACAAAGAATACAGAAGAAAACGCACTCCCGAGGGCTTGTGTTTGATGGAAAACTCCATGCTGTTTGCCGAGTGTCCCGTGAAGTCCCCGGGTTAACCTGTGCCTCTTCCTCCCAGGACGCCTCCTTCAGCAGAGGATGCTGCAGGCCTGCGCTCACAACAAGGGCACCATGGGGCAGGAGGTGCCAACTCCGAGACAAACTCAGAAAACCAAAAGCCTGGTTGGTACATGTTGATTCAAAGACTTCAAATCATTCCTGTTTGAAATGTTGAGCTCTTCCACTCTGAGGTGAAATCCAGAAGCTGTGACACAGGCTGTACCCTGTTTCTGCATTTGACACCTCAGATTCTAGTGGGTGGTTTTTTTCTCTTTTTCAATTGCTTCCTTTGTGTTACTTGAGGTACAACATGGATCCAGTGAAGGTGACGCTGTTGAGTGAACAGCTCAGCAGCTTTACGTATATTTATATATACACCTCTGTGACCACATCCCATCAGCTCATAAACAGTTCCGGAAGCCCAGCAGTCTCCCATTCAGAACTGCACTCGGTCACTATTCTGATCTCTGACATTAGCTTTGTTAAGCTGGAGGCATGCAGTCAGTCCACACTTGGGCTTCTTGCAATCAACATTACATCTGTGGAAATATTCTCTGTATTGCAAGTAGTGGAAGGCTTTTACTTTTTTTTCCCCTTAAATGTCAGGCTGTGTTGTGTATTATGACTATACACAGTCTTGTTCCCCAGGGGGGCATGTCGTGGCTTTCCATATGGGGCTGTTGTGATGGAAGCTGCTGTGAGCATCGCTGCTCTGGTTCTTGGGCAGAAGCCGTACATGTTAGAGACTCTGAGCTGGGTTGTCTTAGAAACTGCAGCTCAGCAGTGCGCTGTGCATTCCAACTGGCCTGGGAGTCTCCTCTGGGGGCTCCTGGCAGGCTAAGATGGCACCAAAGAGAACTGAACCCTCGGGATGTCCTGTGGCCAGCAACTATAATAAAATTTGTCATCAAGAGTTTTAACTTACTGGTTCTTTTAGTGTTTGACAGAGCCAGTTTTGCTTAACATTGTTACTTTTACTAAATAATGTGTATTTTAGTTTTTTATGATATCTCCCTCAGTATCTACAGAAGGCTGGCTCCAGGCCCATGCTGCGGGCCCAGAACCCATGTATACCCAAGCCCTTCGACAAAACGGTGTCATGTTTATACAGAAGCTACATACTTCAAAACATTATTTTTAGTGTTTTTCTTATTTATCTGCTTGAGTTCCCACCTACTGCTTCACTCCTCAAATGCCCAGAGTAGCTTAGAGTTAAGAACACAATTCTTGTCATCTGTGTGGATTGCAGGAACCCAAAGGGACAGTCACCACTGCCTAGCTGGGTCTGCAGCAGCAGGAAGCTGCACTCAAAAGCCAAAACTAGGAGCTCCAATATGGGATCCGCATTATTGTCCTAATTATTAGGCCAAAGGCCACCCCTCCCCCCTGGGTCCTTTACGTCATCTCTAGACTACTTCAAAATACTGAGGACAAGTCGATCCATGTTCATGTATGACCCACTGGTTTTTAAAAATATTTTCAATTTGAGTTGGGTTAAACTGTTTATATAGATTCTACAAATATGGAGCACCAATTATGTTTTTTCAGCTGGATGCTTGGGTTGCTATGCCAGTTTTGCTCCTAAGTGAATAGTTACTCATTGAAAGGTTTCATTAAAGGCCCAGCATGGTGGCCTAGTGGCTAAAGTTCTCACCTTGCACACAGCAGGACTCCATATCGGTACCAGTTTGTGTCCCACCAGCCCCCACTTCCCATGCTCCCTGCTTGTGGCTTGCGAAAGCAGTCAAGGATGGCTCAAAGCCTTGGGACCCTGCACCCATGGGAGCATGGGAGACCTGGAAGAGGCTCCAGGCTCCTGGCTTCAGATTGGCTCAGTTCTGGCTGTTGTGGCTGCTTGGGGAGTGAAGCTGTGGATGGAAAATCTTCCTCTCTGTGTCTCCTCTTCTCTGTATATCTGACTATCCAACAAGTATGAAACATGTTAAAAGAAAAAGGTTTCATCCGGTAATTCATTTTAGAGGTGTGTACAAACATGTGAAAAATCTTAACTTTGCTTTTCCACAGAAACATTATCTGAAAACACCGGAGATGCTACCATTAGCCAGACCCCAAAGCCACATGGGAAAAGGTATGACCAACAGCTCTTGGCGAATCTACTTCTCTTAAGTAAGTAGATAAATGATGAGTGTTAAAGATTTCTTCTTTCCTTCTAGCTTCCACCCACAAATAAAATGGTTCCAAAAAGATGATGCTGTCATCTTAAAGATTCAATTGAAGAACGTAAAAGACTACCAGTGTAAATATTCTACAGACAGAGTGGTCTTTAGGTAGGTTCCCTTATGTCTTACAGAGTGCCCTAGATCTGATCTCTGGCCTCGCAAGGGCTAACTTGGTTGTTTTTAACCTCGTAGCGCCTGGGTGGGAGATAAATTCTACATGGCTGATATGGAGCTGCAAGCCAACATAATAAAAGATGACTGCACGTGTATCATAAAAAATGATGAACCCATGATTACTCTTGTCAAAGAGAAAAGGGAATCTTGGTGCAGCCTGCTCAAACAGAGGGTGAGTTTACGTGAGCTGTGTGTGGCTGGCTGCTCTCCGCTCTGACGGGGGCTGTATCTGTTCACTTACACCAACTGTTATGTTGGACAGAATCCTAATGTGGCCTTCGATTTTGATCACTGGGAAGAGTGTGAAGAGGACAGTCACTTCCCCAAGGGTAAGACCCAGAGTACCCATTTCCCGGAGGGGGCGGGGGTCCTGAATGCAGGGAGGTAGACGTGTCACTAAGCTGACATCAGGAACCCAGCTTATGTAGAAATGGCCGTTAGAGACACCCACAGAAATGAGAGTTCTTTGGGGTTGCCCCAGCTGCCAAACGTTCTGATCTGAGTATTAACTAAAAGGTTAAAATTTTCCTACAACACTTTCAAAGCTATTCCCCTTAAGAAAGTAATTTACCTATAACCATGTAAAATTAACCTGCTCGGTCATTGCCTAAAATAAGGAAGTACCGAATTACTAGCCCGAGCTAGTCAAGCTGACATGGTTGCATTGGGCAAAACATAGAGGTAGAGATGGGCTCTGTGTTGCATGCTTTTAATGATGCCTAACTCTTCCAGTTGTGAAACCTAAAAGCCTTCCCTACAAAGTGGCAGAGGTGGCCGAGGAAAGCAGCAGCTCTTCGGAGGATGCTGGGAGTGACAGCGAATCGGACTGAAACTTGGCAGAGCAGCCCAGAAACTTGGAACAATGGGTGTTGCTGTGTTTCAGAAATTTAAGAAAATCAGCTATGCTATCCAAATCAGTTTTCACTTCAAGGAAGAGATAAGGTTGATGCTTTGGATCGGTAATGACAGATTCTTGGACGATGTAAAATAGGCTAAGAGAAAGTCGCATCCTGGTGTAGCAGGTTGGGCCACCGCCTGTGACACCAACATCCCATATGAGTGCTAGTCTGAATCGTGCCCGCTCCATTTCTAAACCAGCTTCCTGGGAGCTGGGAGAGCGGCTGGTGATGTTGTGGGTGCCTGGGTAGCTAGCACCCATGTGGGATGCAGTTCTGGGCTCCTGGCTTCAGCTTGGCCCAGCCCTGAGTGTTGTGGCCATTTGGGGGAAGAACCAGCAGATGGAATATATATATAGCTCTGTTTCCTCTGTCACTCTGCCTTTCAAATATATAAGTAAATAGGTTGCTGTTGAGAAGGATGTCAAGGTGGAAGCAGGCTCAGGAAGCAGAGGACAGTGCTGGTCTACCACACCCAGCTCACACAGTCACAGCCATTGCCTCTCAGCTCACCCTGTCACTCAGCTTGGCTTGACAGACCATGACATCTGGGCGTCAGAACTGTGCTGTCTTTAGTTGGACCACTGGCTTTCTTCCACCCACGTCATTGACAAGCTGCTCTCTGCCCCTGTGCTGAGGCCTCTTAGACTCACATTCAGGAGCAGCTCAACAGGATTTAGAGCACGGCCTGGAAGGGACTCGCCATACACTGCCTGCAGCTACTAGAATGCTCAGTGTTCCTAAGACACTGCCACCTTCTGTGGCCTCAGCAGTGCCTGCTGGTGGACCTGGGCCTTCTGGAGAGGTGACTGCTGGTTCTAAGTGACCTGAGGCTCTGGATGCTCTAGGGAGAAAGGTCTCAGGTTCTTCCACAGTGACAACTAAGAAGGATCTGTGTGGTGCCTGGAGGGGACTTGAGAAGCCCTGGGTGTGATGACCCAGACACATGTGCACACACACCCTCCACCCCATCACGCTTAGTTGAGGTCTGAGAAGAGCATGGATGGTTATTACCATGTACACCTGGAACTCAGGGGCTGCCCCTTGAGCTTTGGGTTGCTGTGTCCACTAAGTTCAGAGGGAAGCTGATGAGAAAAGTTCCTCAGGAGCAGTTCTAGTAGGGAAAGCATGACTTACTGGTGGCTGCCACAGAGCTCTGCATTCTCCTTGCATCACAAAGCACAGAGGCCAGAGAGCATGTATGGGCCAGATGCAGGCCATCACTTGTATGAGAGGTCAGCTGGAAGGTGCTGTCCACGAGCAGGTGTAACGTATTCTGGCTTTCAGTTTTCTCAGCTGTCAAATGGGGCAGGGAGCCCACAGAGTCCAGTACGGAGTGTGTGGTGTCCATGGGGGCTCAGTGACAGGCACGCAGTGCCCTCCAGCTGCAGGATGTGTCCAGCTGGATGACTGTGGCACCAGGGCCCTCCTGGAACTGCAGTTCTCACAGGTGGACACACAGGAAGCAGGTTGGCCAGGAAGAAGGGTGTGCTTTTCCTTATTCTTGGCTAACTGGACAGGCACTCCAGGAAGCAGCAGGTTCTGGTCCCTTTGCTGGCAAAGGTTCTGGCTTGGTGGAGTGCTTCCTGTCCATTGGCGCAGTCATGGTACAGAGGCCTCCGTTGCTGCAGTGTCCTGTGCTCACCATGGATAAGGTCCACCTGCTCATCCTGGAGCCTGTGGTGGGTCTCTTATAAAACACAGTAAATAACCAGCAGCAAGGGAGCTGCCAAGTGCTAGGGGGTCTGCTCTCTGAACAAAGCACAAGGCCAGTTCCCTGTGCAGTTCAGACAGCTGGGTGAACATCCTGGGACAGGAGGCATGCTACAGACTTAAACCTCAGTTTCTTTTTCAGACATTCTGCTTTCTCGGGGTCTGGAGCACATTAGTCACTTTTCTGTACTGCTGTCTCCTATGCTCTCGTTTCTCGAGTTGGGTCAACTGCCGAGGTGGAAGCACCTTTGTCTCTGACGCAGAAGTTGTGGCACAGTCGTCTGTGGTTGGGAGGTCTGTTGTGCAGTGTTAGCAATAAAATGCCAGTGTTCAACAGGAGTGTGTTGCACAGTGTCTTCTCCAGGCGCCACTGCAACATGAAGTTCCACTTCCCACCCTTTCTGGTGGGTCCAGTGAGGGCTGCTGGGGGTGTGACAATGCAGAACATGATGGAGGTGAGCCTGGGAGCACACAGGCCCTGCAGAACCACCACTGAGTCCTATCAGGAACAGTGCTTGCTGCCCATGGGGTCTCAGGAACATCTTTATTCACAGGAATGTGCAGTGGCCCAGGCAGGCACTGGCAGTCAGTTCTGATCTGCCAGTTTGTGTTCTTGATTGTCCCCTATGCCATGGCTCCACCTGCTAGCGTCGGCACACATGGCACACACCCCAGCCAATTAGATTTTATAAAGACAGCAAAAAAAAAAAAAAAAGCAAAAAACCCATCTTAATACATTTCTTTTTTTAAAAATCAGGAGAACATAAGCACAAATACTGATTACAAAAGTAAACACATCACAGTTTTGACTTGGCTACAAGGGACAGAGTTGTCACTAAGTGTCCTTCTCTGGCGGCACGGCTTCCAAGAGCATCTGAAGGTGCATGGTGACTGGCTCTGGAACAGAAGGCAGAGGACAAGTTGATTAGACGGGCTGTCTGGGAAGCTGGGTACTCCCTGGTCACGTACCGCCTAAGACCCTGCAGCTCTTTCTGCCGCAGGTGGGGTCATGGGCATGGCACACAGGCTCCCTTTCTTCACAGCATCTTGTCATTGCTTTGAGGATGGCTGCCTGTGGGTTATTCAAGGCCCTCACAATAGCCACACTGGCTCTTGGAGCTAAGGTTTTTCCTAGAAGCCTACTGCGTATTTTATTGCCACTAAACTATTTACAGTCTAGGAAAAATGAGGCTCAGTAACATATAGATACGTCAGTCATTCCAGCAGTCTCAGTCACCAAAGCTTAATTTCGTTTAAAAAGTAAGGTCGCTCATTGTTTTTAGTTACCTTAGCTTCCTACCACCTTTGGTAGGGAGGAGCTTGTTCAATAGTGTAAACTTGGAAGGATAGGCTTTGTCATTAAACTGCAGTGTCATCCTGGTCAGAGTGTCCGTCATGATCAAATCCAGGTTCATTTTAGAACAAATGAGTAAAATGGCCACCTTTGTCACACCAATATCCTATCTTTCCCTTGGGCAGGAGTGTGCACAGCCTTGCCCCAAGTCAGTGCAGGGTTCAGATCAGGAGGAGAGACTGTTTCAGGAAGGGCAAGAGTACTTGGTGGAAATGACATAACCATACTTTGCTTTTGTTGACCTTGTTTTAGCCAGCATGAAATCACCCCTGCCAGCTAGGTGATGGCACAAGATCTCACAGCCAGAAATGGAGGTGGGAAGGACCTGGAACATGCCAGGGTGCCAAGAACGCCTCGGGCAGTCTCAGGCCTGGCTGGCCAGTTGTGAGGCTCATTCATCTCCCCCCTCTGGTGAGTGTCACTCTACCTGCCCTGGTACGCTCTCTGACCTATGCACCACACACAGCGTGCACAGGAGTGCCTGCATGGGGTGTCTGCTCTACCCTGCTGAGGCAAGCTCTGTCAGAGGCCAGCCACGTGCTGCATCCGGGATTCCACTGTGCCCGGTCCAGTTCCCATCGTCCAGGAGCTCCCATTGGTGGGGATGCTCAGATGCCTGCACAGGCTTTTAGGAGTATGGTTTCTTGCAGCTGATTTCTATTGTGCTTGACAGAAACTGCATGTGTAACAGACATTTATGAAAACAGATGTAGCTCAGTCTCTTTGAGCACCTTGCAAAAAAAAAATGGCTCTTTAGAAGTCAATGTGGCTTGCTTACTGAAGCTTTTATACAATGTGGGCAAGCATCTGGTACAGTGGTAAGATGCCATTTATGGCACCTGCATCCTTTGCCACACTTTGCACCCAGCTTTGTTAATGCACACCCTGAGGGAGCAAGTGATGCCTCAATGGTATGAGTCACTTCCCCTGTGGGAGAGCCATGCTGAGCCCTGGGCTCTTGGCTTCGGCCTGGCCCACCAGTGGCTGGGAGATCTTGGTCTCTACTTTCCAATTAGGAAAAAATATGCCAAAAAAAAAAAAAAAGGCTCTTAAAAATAAACGCAGGGTTGGGCCTGGCGCAATGGCCTAGCGGCTAAAGTCCTCGCCTTGAAAGCACAGGGATCCCATATGCACGCCGGTTCTAATCCCAGCGGCTCCACTTCCCATCCAGCTCACTGCCTGTGGCCTGCAAAGGCAGTTGAGGATGGCCCAGGGTCTTGGGACCCTGCACCCATGTGGGAGACCTGGAAGAAGTTCCTGGCTCCTGGCTTCAGACTGGCGCACAGCACTGTCGGTTGCAGTCACTTGGGGAGTGAACCATAGGACGGAGGATATTCCTCCCTGTCTCTCCTCCTCTCTGTATATATCTGACTTTGCAATAAAAATAAATCTTTAAAAATTAAAAAAAAAAACCATGCAGAGTAGCAACCTCATATATGGAGCCGCCCCAAGGTCGTCTTGTCCCTTGCACCTTGCGTTGGCGGTGGCATTCAAATTGGGCCAAGCTCTTGGGCCACCTGGCAGTATGCTCCGGAGCCTTGAGGGTGTGGGCTTACATGGGATCTGGGACCTGGCACAAGTGAGGGCAAGTAAGGACCTGAGGGTTCATGTCCAGGTGACGAATGATTAGTGAGGGACCTCCACAGACAAGGCCACTGTATTTGCAGGTTACTAAGGGGGATGAGACTTGGAGAGGGGAGCAGCAGAACCTTTAATGATCAGACCGAAGCACGCATAGGAGACCTGAGGTCAGGTAGTTATCAGTGACCAACACTGAATACCACTCACTGGCACACAGTAAAGCTGGAGGCCTAACTGGCAGGGCTAGATCACAGGACTTACCAGAGGGAGTTACACAGGGGTGGGTAATGTTAGGCTAGATCATGACACTAACCAACACACGGGAGAATTAGGCCTGGGGGCAGAATATGTTGTGGGGGGTAAGTGGGTTCACTGCTGTGAAACTGCGATCTCTGCTGGCATGTGCAAGATCTGTGGATGGAGACAGGCCTGGTTAGGGAGGTAAACGGTCACCCCAGCTAAGTTGGGGTTCCCGGCACTGAGCTTGACAGCCAGAATGGGGGCATTGTGCTGTGCTGGACATGGCTGCAGTCTCCATCGGCATGGATGTGGACTGGGTCTGGAAAGCACCAGACTGGACTAGACTCCAGCACCCACTGCTGCTCGCAAGAGCCAAGGTGGATGTAGGATGGAATAGGCTAGGTCTTGGTTCCTGCCAAACCATGGCAGAGCGGTGCAGACCCAGAGGTGTGGACCAGGTGTGGCTGGGCTGCAACACCCAACAGCAAGAACCTGAAAGGGCGTTGGCTGGTTGGGCAAGAATACTGTCCCTGCCAGGGAAAGAGGTAGACAAAGCCAACCTGGGCCAAGGACCCACTGGCATGCATGGGATCTGCCACTGAGAGGAGATCTGATAGAGGAGCTTGTTAGGATGCAGTTCCTGCAGGTAAGCACAAGAACCAAGGCAAGCAGCAGCCCAAACCAGGTCAGGTTGCAGTGCTCGCCAGCATACAGGTAGGTCAGGTCTGGGGGCAGGCCAGGATGTACCAGTTCATAATATCCGCTGGCAGATCTGAGAACCAGGATGAGGTGCAGGCCAGGCCAAGTAGGGCCGCAACACCAGCCAGTCCACATTAGGTCTAGGCCAGGCTAGGCTGCAACACCCAGTATTAGGAGCTGGCACGGGGTATGGCAGGCTGCAAAGAACCAGGTTGAAGCACATGCTGGTGGATGCCAAGGTGAGACAAGCCATGCCAGTCTGAGTGTGATGGGTGCCAGGTCCGTGAACCCCAAGGGCAGAAGTTCCGACAGGGCCTGAGATGCCTGACCTGGGTCCATTTGTGAAAACATATCCTCTTCAATGGAAAAGTCGGAGCAATGGAATTGAGGCCTGAAAGCACAAGGAGGGTAAGGCAGCCCGTGGTAGCCTGCAGAGGATTCCTGGCGCCATCACAGAGGAAGGAGATCAAAGCAAACTGCACAACTACCCCAGCCAAATGATGACGGCAACAGGACAAAGGTGGACTGTGTCACCTCATGGACACTGGAAGGATTTGCTCATCCTTGGATTGGTGAGATTCACACCATTTCAGAACTATCAAAACCACGAACCCTCAGCCCATGCACTACACTGGGGCCCTGGGTTGACAGCGGGTAGCTGTTCCCCATCCCAGGGTGCTGGGGTGGTTGGGAGGTGAATATGACTTGTCCCCTTGTCTCCCCTCCTTCCCCAGATACAGGAAAAATAGAAAATTAGCAAATAATGATCATACCCACTTTTTCTTAACCCTCGGTCCTACGCAGCACAATCAACAAAATAAACATCACCAATAAACATATTAAAAGTGTATGTAAAGAAGATGCAAATGAGGACTGCTGTGTGGAGCAGAGTGTGATATGCACAGCCCAGGCACCTGTCACTCTCTCCCAGTCCAGCCTCTGTCACTGTGTGCTATCCGGAATGGCACTGAGCTCTCAGCTGCTACGTGTGTTTGCCAGGAAGAACAACATGGGGCTCTGGAGATGGACGGGGATGCTGAAAGCATGCAACATGACTGCACTGCACTTGACAGAGGACAAGATGGCAAGTTTTGCATTTGCATGCATTTTAAGGGACCTGGGGAGTGGGTGTTGAGCCTAGCAGATCAGATACCCATTGTCCCACGGTGGTGGCTGGGCTCCTCTGCCTCTGGCTCCAGACTCCGGCTTCCTGCTCACCCACACCCCGGGAGGCAGCAGGCAGAGCGTAACTGTGGGTCTGCCACCCATGTGGGAGACCTAGGCCAATCCTAGGCATCTGGAGGTGACCCTCTGTTGCCGTCTCTCAAACACCTTAAAATGCCTTCCCTTCCTGCTTGCTAGACTCGATCATGGGTCCAGGCCTGGCCTTCCTGAAGGGCAGTGTGCTCTGTGAGAGGCCATGCAGAGGGGCCAGCTAGGATCAGGAAGGGCAGCTGAGGGTGTGGGATGCTCTGCCTGCCCGTGCTTCAACAACACAACTGCCCTGTGATACTTACTTGAGATTTTCTGGGCCCATGCAAACTTGTGGTAGACAAAGAGGAAGTAAAAGATGAGGCCGCTCAGGATAAACAACACACAGTAGAGATACTCCCATGCAGGTTCCGTGATGATTGGGGCCAGGACCAGAAACACGGCTATGAGAGTCACCAGGATGGGGATGACGATGGGCACCTGCAAGCCAAACAGTAAGGGGTCAGGCCGTGGCTGCACACACCCGTCCTCCTCCTGGAGCTTTTCACTAAGAAAGCAGCATGGCTGCTACAAACGGTGTCGTGAACGCGTGTAACCCTCTCCAATTTCAGTCACCTTGATGTCGTTCTCTCACTCTCACTTCATCTGCTCCACCTTTTCCCTGATGGTGAATTTTTTAAATGTTATTCTCATGCCTCCTTTGTATAAAGGAACTGAGGGATTTGTCTTTTCTGTGGTGTCTAATTCTAGCTCTGTGTGATTGGGTCCCCCTGGTGCCTCTCTCTTCCCTATTCCTTGTACGCCAGTAGCTAGATTTGGAGGCATGAATACTCCACAGTAGAGCAGTCAGTACAAGCACATGATACCTGATTCTCACTCTTTGAAATGACTAAGGTTTGGGCTTAAGAGAAGGAAAGCAGTCCAGTCCCACCATTATAAATTACCCCCATTAACTTCATCCTCCTAAACCAAGAGTAAAGTTTTGAATGGTTTTTAGCACCTACCAATCACCACTGTCCTATTATTTCACCAAGGGTTGCAAAGGAGTCACCCTTCCAGACGTCATGATCTGAAATTGTGTAATGAAACATTTCTTCAACTACTTGGTGATTCTGTATTGAACTTGTGCAGGAAAGGCAGGGTAAATGCTTGCTTCTTCATTTTCAGGATGAGCTGGGGCCTTGGGACTTGCAGGGCTGACCCAGATGAGATTCACTGGCCCTTCAGCTCCCTGTCACACTCTGTGTGAAGTCAGCCTGTCCTGTCACTGCTGCTCCCAGGACGCTCTGCTGGCTTCCTGGCATGATAGGAGGTGGCAGCCCTGGATTCCTCCCTCTCTCCAGTGAACTTTGTTTCCTTTTAGTAGGAAATGGCATTTAAAGATCATTATGCAGGGAGTGAAGTATCTGCTGCTGTTTTTGCAAGGACAAGGACTAATCTTTTATCAAGAAGGGAAGTTTTTTCAAATCCACTGCAGCATTATCTATTTTTGTTCTAAGATTACATGTTTCTTATACTGTCTTGTCATCTGAAAAATCTTGTTTCCTAAAACATTTAACTCAATTAGTTCTTTTGTTCTATAATATCTCTGCAACAAATCCCTAAGGAACTAGAGCGCTAACACTGCTGGTAGTAGTTTGACATTCAGGGTACTTTGTAATTCTTTTTTAGCCTCAAGAGCAGTGTGTAACCCTAATACTTACTTTTTTCAGGGCTGTACCAACTGCTTGTTATACAGAAAGCTTCATTTGTTTTTAATCTTAAGGATTTACTGTTCCCCTTTTTAACATTTATTTAAAATGTAATTTTTTTCACATGATTTGCCTCATTCCACCTTTTTGAGAACTTACATATTCACCTTCCACTGATGATTAAAATACAGCAAATGGCAGTTTTGTACATTCTGTTATCTGGTAGTATCATTCCAGAGATAATTTAGTAAGACAAAGTAATTAAGCATCCATTTTCTACTGCTGATGCACCATTTTGAGTCTGTCTCCTGCTAACATTTGGATTATGTTGAACCTATGGCTATCAAAATTACTGTTTTGATGAATAAACTTGTATGCGTTTCATATTTCTGCTAAGTGTGGCTCTGAGATTTGGGGGATGGGCCAAAGAATAAATGCTTGCACAATTTTGTGAGCTTCTGCCAAACCACCCCACAGCGTGGCCAGACTCTTCCTATTCCGCTATCATGGGAAAGGGCCAGGACGCCCCTGACTCCCCAGAGGAGTCCATGGTCGATATGTTTTGCCATCTGATGGGCAAGAAGTGTTTTCTGTTGCAAGTCGGGTATGTGTTCTCTTGCCGAAGCAAAGTTGGAATTGTTTCAGTTAAGGATGTTAGCATTTTGGGGAGGATTATCACCTGGAAAGGTTTCCTTAATCTGTTTTTAATGTGCTTTATTTTTAAGGCAAATTTTAATTTTTTTCCATTATTACTTCCAGAATATAAATCGTAAGTTTTCTCCACTCAGATTTACAAAGCAATTTACATCTTATTTGTGAATCAGCACCGTAACTTGTGAATGAGTGAGCATGCTGAGTGAACTCCTGCTTATCATTCATGTGCGTGTAATTTGCTTTAGCGTTCACATTTGTGGAACTGTTTCTAATATTTTTCCCCCATAGGTAAATCTGTGTAATGCATTTTACCCACCATGAATTAAACAGTTAACTACGAATTTTTTTACCCTCAGCATCTTTTGCAAAAGCTATGTAAGATTTAAAAATACCTTTTCTTTTTTTTTAAGTAATTGGATTCTGTTTAAGATTCAACATGTTTGTATCATTCATTATTCCCAAGGGAGATTACGCAATCTCGGTAGGATTGGTATCAATTTATACTCTGTAAAAATAAGCTGAAAGTCAATAAAAGAATCCCAGAGGTGAGGAGTTAACCCAAGCATACTATAAATGAAAATGGAGAAATAATCTCCACAACACAGGACGTCATTTTGTAAATCTTAAGACAACCCCTGAACAACGCCATATAAATAATTTTTAGAGTTTTTTTTTTGTTTTAATTGGAAAGGCAGATTAAGAGAGAAGAGACAAGAGATAAAGAATTTCCATCCTCTGGTTCACTCCCCAAATGACTGCAAAGGCCAGAGCTGAGCTGTTCTCATCTGAAGCCAGGAGCTTCTGCCCACTCTCCCACGTGGGTGCAGGGTCCCTAGGCTTTGGGCTGTCCTCCACTGCTTTCCCAGGCCACAAGCAGGGAGCTGGATCAGATGTGGATCAGCTGAGACATGAACTGGTGCCATATAGGATCCTGGCACATGCAAGGTGAGGATTTAGCCACCAGGCTACCGGGCTGAGCCCCATACACATACCTTTGAAAAAGCAGATGAAATGTTATTTTCTAGGAAAATTCAAAGGAAAAATTTTGATGCAAAAAATCTTTGAACTCAGTGCTTTTTCTTAATATCTATTTTCCATAAACTTTCTGAAGACCCCACATTAGTGTGGATTTCAAAAATCTTCTTGTACCAAAATAAACTTGTCTTTAAGTTGCTTTTTTTCCACCAGCTTTTTACTTTCAAGTAACTTACTGGAAAATTTTAAAACTCAGATTTTCGCAGCCTATTCCAGATCACTGAAGGAAAACTTCTAAGAGCTAGACCGACTGCTTACTACTCATTGTGTGTCTGTCTCACGCCTTCAAGTGTTCTCACTCTTACATTCATTATTTTTCCTCCTTTTGGGTTTCTGTATTGTTTCTGAGTGGCCCTTTTTTGTTTTCATTAATATAAGTATGCAATGTGATGAGATTCTTCAGAGTGCCATGAAACTGTGTCCTTAGGGCCTCGGTCTCCTTAGCTGAGGAACGTGTGTACTGGCAGTTCTTACTCCTTCTTGGTCCCAAAGGTCTATCATCTTCACTTTCTGTTTTGTTGCATTACAGACAATGTTACCAAATTTTTCTTGGTGGCGTTAAAGATGGTCATTTGACAGTGATGTCTTGAAAAGGTGCCTCCTCTAGTGGGGTTAGAGTTTGATCCCATACCTTGTAATGCTTTTTGGGTCTTGGGTCTCCTTTCCTCCTGGAATGCCTGGCTCCAAGCTGGTAGGAGGAGGGCTGACTGATCACCTGCTGTGGTGCATTCTCTGCTCCTTGCCATGTTTTGCAGACTCTGCTTTGAAGCACAGGCGCAGAGCTGGATGGTCAGGTGTAGGGGTTCCCTCTTCCCTGAGACCTTGTGTTGCTGAGTGAGCTGGCTTTGTCTTGGCGATGCTACGGGCCCGAGTGCCTGTCCGAGGATCTCGCCTTGTTTTCTGAGGATTAATTTGCCTGCTCCTGTTTTGCCTTTTTACTTTGGTTTTCTACAGCTTTATGGATCTGCTTGCAAAAGATCTCTTTCACAGCCAAGTTAAGTCCTTTTAAATCTAACAAGCCAGTTTATTCACAGAACTGGTAAATTCTCCATTCCTATGCGGTACCTGTATTTCTGTAAACATACAACTTCTACTTACCGTTAATCTTCTGCCCTAAAGAGTGACATACAGGGCCCGGTGGCATGGCCTAGCGGCTAAAGTCCTCACCTTGAATGCACTGGGATCCCATATGGGCACCGGTTCTAATCCCAGCAGCTCCACTTCCCATCCAGCTCCCTGCTCGTGGCCTGGGAAAGCAGTCAAGGATGGCCTAAAGCACATGTGTGGGACCCTGCACATGTGTGAGAGACCCAGAGGAAGTTCCTGGCTTCCCGGCTTCGGATCGGCGCAGTACCAGCTGTTATGCTCACTTGAGGAGTGAATCATCGGACGGAAGATCTTCCTTCCTGTCTCTCCTCCTCTCTGTATATCTCACTTTATAATAAAAATAAAATCTTTTTAAAAAATAAATTAAAAAATTTTAAAAGAGTGGCATATAGTGGGAAAACACTCCCAATGGCAGTATTTCCATATTTTAAATGGGAAAACCATAATGCATCAAAAAAAAAAAAAACCCACCTCAAAGTTCTCAACTTTACAACAAAAACAATAGTAAATAACATGGTGCAACACACACAACAAGTTCCACAGATGCCTGCAGGAAAGGTGCTCCGCTTCCAGTCCAGCTCCCTTGCTGTGTTTGGACAGAGGTGGGCTCTGGGGTTTCCCCTTCGCTAGCCCAGTAGCTCTGCCTGCTCAGTGGAGGTGGAGGCAGGCAGCTGTCTGTCCCCGACCACCCCACAGCCTGGGTGCTGGTCAACATGCAGCACCAGTGAGGTAGCAAGTCAGACTTGCTGAGACCAAGCCCCAAAATGTCCTCCTCCTCTTCCTGGTTACTTAATCCCTGATCTTGCCTCATCATGCACCATGGGCTCTTCAAAGGCAAACAAGATCTCTTAATTTAAGTAGAAAACCACAAATTCTGCTGCCTGCCCTTTGGTGTAGTCACACCAGCCCAACAAGAAGAGGGAAGGAGGAGCCCCAGACAGCAGACATGGGCTGAGAGGGGCTGCTCGCACAGGCCTGGTTCTGGGCAGGGTTGGGCAGGCCCTCAAATGTGGTAATCCCGAGAAGCAGCATGCTGGAAGCAGAAGACACTCCCTGGGCCTGCACTTCATCCCCTCTGACTAAGTCACCATAGGGAAACAGCTGCTCGTGACCTTGGGCACTCTGCTTACCTTGATCGGCCTTTCCAGTTCTTTCTTCGTAAACCTCATCACAATGAGTCCTAGAACTGTCATGCCATAAAACAACCATGCAGCAAAACTGAAATAATTGACTAGTGAGTTAATGTCTCCAGGAATGATATAAATGGTTGCCATGATTCCCTGGCAGAAAGAAGAATGAATTTTAGGTTATTAGTGCATAAAACCACTGCCCTTACCACTTCACAGGAGACTGACCACTAGCCTGAGAAAGACTTCCTGTATGCCAACACAGCAGGGGTTAAACTTGACTTGGCTGTGGGGTCTGTTCTCTGCAGCCTGAGAAAAAGGCTGGCTGTCACTGTCTTACCTACTAAAACGCATCTTCTCCTCCTGGGGGCCGGCGGTCCCTTGGGGAGTTTGTGACATGAACACAGAACAGAGGCACATGTGCAGAAGGACTGCTGCTTTCACAGACATGGAGGAACTCAGGCACAGTGAACTGCCTTGGGATTTCCAAATCAAGAAGTACCGGAACTTGGGCTTAGCAATGCACTCTATGTAACCATCCAAACCTAAGGGGCCCCCTGCCCTTAAGGTGGTGTTGTGCAGAAGCCATACTTACATAAAAGATGATGGAAGGGGCTGGAGTTAGGCGCCTGACACTAATGTAAGACAGCACTTTGAGCATGTGGCCTTCCCGGGCAGCCACGTAAGCGAGTCTGAAAAACAAGCATCCGGCAATGAGAAGCTGCCCCAACTGTCCTTCAGAAAGAGTCCAAAGTCCCACTCCAAAGCTACAGAGAGGCGGACTGCAAGGCAGCCTGACCATGTTCCGAAGGCCAGCTGGGAAGAGGACTGCAACTTGGCAACAAGGTCACCCAAGCAGGAAGAAGGGCAGTTGGGAGACCCTGGAGATGCTTGGAACTTCTACTGCAGCAGAAACAAACGTGCTGGGAGGCAAAGGCCCTGGGGCCTCAGTGCTCGGCAGGAGCAGAAACAGAACCAGCCTTATTTGTCAAACCCGGGCAGATAGAACTGATATTTCTCAAAAGTCTTCAGATCGTCTCCTCTTGGTTCCCTCTAGAATTGTTAATTATCCAGCAATGTGGAAGACTGCTTAAAACCTTCAAGGAGTAGTACTGGTGGGGTACCCCAGCCTACGTCAGAGTGCCCACTGAGTGCCCGCTGCTACACTGCAGGGCCAGCAGCAGGGACCCCAGGGCACAGGCCTTCCCGCCCTGGGCCAGCCTCAGCTGCTACTGGCATTTGGGGAGTGAACTATGACAGAATGTGGACGTCTGCCTTTGCTAGCCCACCCTGCCTTTCAGTAGATGATGAGCATCATGGAAAAGAGAAAAAAAAAAAAAAAAGAAGACGACCTAAACAGAATTTCTTTAAAATATTCAGTATAATTAAAATTTCAATTAGAAAACAGTGAAAATAAGTTGGACCCTGGATCCAAAGCCCAGAGAGATGAGAAATTAGGCTGTAATACACTGAGGAAAGGCAAATTGAAAATGCAGAGCTTTGACCACACTGGGAAATAGCCTTCAACCTGAGCCCAGTTCTACAGACATACCCTGTGGTAAGCATCATGAAGAAAGAAGAACTTCTGGGCCACTGAATTTAAAAGATGAAGTACAGGGCCCAATGCAATAGCCTAGCAGTGAAAGTTCTTGCCTTGAATGCACCATGATCCCATATGGGCTCCAGTTCTAATCCCAGTGTCCTATTTCCCATCCAGCTCCCTGCGTGTGGCCTGCACCTGTATGGGAGACTGGAAGAGGCTCCAGGTTCCTGGGTTCAGATCAGTGCAGATCCAGCTGTTGCAGCCACTTGGGGAATGAAATCAGTGGATGGAAGATCTTCCTTTCTGTCTCTCCTCCTCTCTGTAGATCTGACTTTCCAACAAAAGATAATAATAATATAAATCTTTTTAAAAAAGATGAAGCAGGCCCAGCACGATGGAACAGTGGTTAAGGTCCTCGCCTTGCACGCCCGGGATCCCATATGGGCGCCGGTTCTAATCCCGGCAGCCCCGCTTCCCATCCAGCTCCCTGCCTGTGGCCCGGGAGAGCAGTAGAGGACGGACCAAAGCTTTGGGACCCTGCACCCGCGTGGGAGACCCGGAAGAGGCTCCTGGCTTCGGATCGGCATAGCATCGGCCGTTGCGCTCACTTGGGGAGTGAATCATCGGACGGAAGATCTTCCTCTCTGTCTCTCCTCTCTATATATCCGCCTTTCCAATAAAAAAAATAATAAAAATAAATCTTTTTAAAAAAATAAGTCTTTAAAACAAAACAAAACAAAACAAAACAAAAGATGAAGCGCAGAATCAAGACCAAGAATAATTGCAGAGATAATGAAAAAATTGTCTAAATTGAAAAACAAAACATTTTCTGATCTGAACTCTAAAGTTAATTAGCATTAATGACAGTGGCATTAAAGACATTTTTAGATGAACTGAGACGTTCACCCCTGAGTCTTCTCCAACACAGAAAAGAAACAACACAGAGAGCTGATTTCAAGCAGCCATGTTAAGGAAACACAGGCCAGTGCTGATGTGTGCACAAGTCCTGGGTGGGTGGGTGGGTGGGTGGGTGGGTGTGGTTTCGTTAGGTACTGATGAGCTTTTGGAGGCATGGGCTTATTATAAACCAGGCAGAGCTGATAATACTGCAGAGTATGAAAGCAGAAACACAACTGGGTAGTGATGTCAGATACTGGGTCATCACTAAAAGAATGGACACGTTCCTCCATGCCAGAAAAAAATATGGGGAGGGGACCAGGGGAACTAAGGAAACTTGGATGGCCATAACTCGGGATAAGATTTATTTGTTTGTTTTTAATAAACCAAGAAGAGAAGTTAAACTACACCAGTAATCAAATTCAATGCAAACAGAAAGAAATGTAACCAAGCCCGATGACACGTAAAGGCTGGGAATAAAGGAGAGAACACACGAGCAAAAATAACCCAAATACAGCCACGCCCCAGTGCCAGCATCACACGTTCTAAGGCTTTAGAGAGAGGGACAGTCCTGCTCACAAGAGGAATCATCCACAGAATAAAATATAACCAGAGCCTTTAAGGGCCTGGTGTGGTGGCATAGTGGTTAGGGTCCTTGCCTTGCAAGCACCAGGATCCCATGTGGGAGCCAGTTCTAATCCCGGCGGCTCTGCTTCCCATCCAGCTCCCTGCTTGTGGCCTGGGAAAGCAGTTGGTGATGTCTCAGGGTCTTGAGACCCTCAACCTGCGTGGGAGACCCGGAAGAGGTTCCTGGCTCCTGGCTTTGGATTGGTTCACCTACAGCAGTTGCGGCTGCTTGGGGAGTGAACCATCAGACGGAGGATCTTCCTCTCTGTCTTTCCTCCTCTCTGTATGTCTGCCTTTCCAATAAAAAAAAAATAAATAAATCTTAAAAAAAAAAGAGCCTTTGAAACAGATGACAAAATGCACTTGATCTTAGCCCAAAGGCCAAGAAGTGACAACAAAAATGCAAAACTGCTATTGCAGTGGAGGATTTGAACAGTATAAATAAGAAAGCTTAATAACGGGGGCTCGCATTGTTGTGTAGTAGGTCAACCGCCACCAGCAACGCCAGCATCCCATCCAGCACTAGATTGTGTCCCGGCCACTCCAGTTCCCATCCAGCACCTGCTAATGCACCTGGGAAAGCAGCAGAGGATGGCCTAAATGCAAGGGCCCTTGAGTCCACCTGAGAGACCCAGCAAAAGCTCTTGACTCCTGGCTTTGGATTAGTCCAGCTGGCTGTTGTGGCCATTTGGGGAGCAAACCAGCAGATAAAAGATCTGCCCCTGTTTCTCCCTCCCTCCCTAACTCTTTCAAATAAATAAATAAATCTTTAAAAATTGATTTAAAAAATAAGCAAACAACTATAGAAGGCACATTATTTCCAAAGCCATAGAAAACAAAATTTTCACACATCCACAACATTTGGTGTTTTAAAAATTTTGTTGGATGATACATTTGAAAGGTGGAGTGGCAGAGCTGCCACCTACTGGTTCATTCCCAAGTAGCCAAACAGCCTGGGCTGGTTCAGGCCTAAGTTGGGACCCAGGGTTCCATCCAGGTCTCCCACCTGACTGGGAGGAAAAACACACCTGGGCCTGCTTTACAAAGGGCTGGAATGCAAGAGCAGCAGCCAAGACAAAAACCAGTGCCCACATGGAATGCTGGCATTGCAGGCAGCAGCTTGTTTACACATCAGTGACATGCCACCTAGTGACGGATGCCAACTTGTTTTGTTTTTGTTGTTTTTTTGAACAGCAGAAGGATTGATCTTGTATCCACTGTTTCACTCCTTAAATGATCTGAAAAACCAAGAGCCAGGGGTTTCATCAGGATCTCCCACCAACATGGGTGGCAGAGACCCAAGTATTTGAGCAATCTTCCATTGCTTCCCAGGTACATTAGAAGAGAGTTCAACTAAAAGTTAACTAAGCAGCCAGGATTTAAACTGGCACTGTAACACTGTACAGGCATTACAAGTGATAGCTTAACCTGCTCTGCCACAATGCCCATCCAAAGTTTTAAAACTTCTGAAGAATAACATAAATATTTCATATTCTGACTATAATGCAATAAAGTTATAAGGCAGGAACACACAGGCCAATAAGATTCATCCATTTAGAACTGCACACTTGAATTTTTGAAATAAAATTAACCCCAGAAAAAGACCATTAAACAGAAAGGGAATTGATGGAAGAAGATTTGGGCTCAAGATGACGCTGTAAAACTGTAAATTTCGTCATTTCTCCATAATCCAATGGCAGTGAGGGGAGTGCTGAGTTAATCACCATTTGCGATGCTAGCAGCCCATGTAAGTGCAGTCACAATTACTCTATTTCCAGTCCAGCTTCCTGCTAATTTGCCTGGGAAAATAATGAAGATGGACCAAGTATCTGGGCCCCTATCACTCATACAGAAGGCCTAGATGAAGTTCCTGGCTCCTGGTTCAACCTGGATCACTCTGAGCTGTTATGCCGTTTGATGAGTGAATCAGCAGATTGAAGAGTTCTTATTTATTCTCTCTCTCTCTCTCTCTCTCTCTCACACACACACACATGTACACACACACAAACACACACTCCCTGCCTCACTCCCTTACTCCACCTCACCTTCCACCCTCTCCCTGTTAAAGGGTTTGTTTGTTTGTTTGTTTTCATGGAATCAGGCATGAGTGTCTGACACAGTGGTTAAGACACTGCTCGGGATGCCCGCATCCCACACGGAGTGCCAGGGCTGGAGTCCTGGCTCTGCTCTGAGTCCAGTTTCCTGCTGCTGTGCATTCTCAGAGGAAATAAATGAGGGCTCAAGTACAGGGGTCCCCGCTACCACACAGGAAACCTGGATTGCGTTCCCGGCTCTCAGCCATAGTGTGGCCAAGCCTTGGCTAGGGCACGATTTGGGGAGAAAACCAGGGAATGGAAGATTGTTGTTCCTATCTGTCTGCCTCTCAAATAAATTTTTCTAATGTTAGTAAGATTTTTGGAATTGGCTATGATAAACACATCTGGAAAGCTAAGCAGACCAAGCGAAGTCTGACACAGGAGCATGAATGCCAGATACTATATTACTAAAGCTTTTAAAACTTCTAAAGAAATGTGGTAACTGCACAAGACATCAATGAAACAAAGTGTACCAGATGTATGGGGGAATGATAATGGCATTTCAAACCAGAGAGGGCATTAATGGCCAGTTCAATAAATAGGATTGTGACAACAGGTAAAGGCTTGGATAAAGGAGAGTAAAACTTGTGTTTCACATCAAATTATATCTCGCATTGATGGAAGAGTGACAGTAAAATGCTAGCTAAGTATATTATTGAATGAATGGAAGAAGGTTTGTGTATTTGAGATAGGAAATCCAGACTCCATGAAGGCAATTTTACAGATTTGACTCCCTACAAATGGTTTACAACAGGGACTAGTGTTGTGGGGCATCAGATTAAGCCATCACCTATAACACTGGCATCCCATATTGGGAGGGCTGGTACCAACCATGCCACTTCTGATTCAGATTCCTGCTAAGGCACCTGAGAACACAGCAACTAAGTCCTATGGTCTCTGCCATCCATGTGGGAGACCTGGATGGAATTTCCGGCTTCCAGCTTTGGCCCACCTACCCTGGATTTTGGGAGCATTTGGAGAGTGATCAAACAGGGAGAAGAGACCTGCCCCTGACATTTCAAATAAAACTTAAAAGTGTATACACAACATAAATCTGTATAACACAAGCCCTTGGCCCATCCCCATGCTGCATAAGTACGAAACTCCGCATTTACCTTGTAATAGTTCACATATGTAAATGGGAGCACTAAACCTATAATGTCTGAGGGAGTGTAGGGGCAGACTTCACAAACCTTGGACTGGGCAAAGGTTCTCAGATGTGATCACAAAAGGATGATAAAAAAAATATAAAAAACAGGGTTAACATTGTGGCACAGTGAGCTGAGCTGCTATCATGCCAGTATCCCTTATCAGAGCGCTGGTTCAAGTCCTGGATGTTCCACTTTTGATCTATGTAATGTGACTGTGAAATCAGCAGATAATGGCCCAGGTACCTGAGCACCTGCCAGCCATGTGGGAAATTGGGATGGAGTCCCAAGCTACTGAATTCAACTTGGCACAGCCCTGACCATTACAATGCTTTCTCTCTGTCTCTCTGTCTCTCTCTGTGTGTATGCGTTTTAGTATGTTTTTAAATCTGCTGCAAACAGATCACTCCATTGAGATGGAATGGAGATCAGTGGATGCCCAACACTACAGGGGTGACCTGATGGGGCTTGAGGGAGCTTTTGGGCTGATGGAAATGCTCTGGAATTAATTGTGATCATGTTTACATAGCTTAATAAATTTGCTCAAACAACAGCTGCACAATTACTAAGAGTGGTATTTATACCTCAGTAGGGCTATTAAAGGTGTATTTTTATATACTTAAAATGAGCCACTGTCATTTTCAGTAACATAAAAATATAGGCATGTAGAATACATCTGACTGACGATGTCTCAAGTAAATGGTAGTCCACATCCATGGAATGGCAGACCCAGCATTCCCACACTGTGGCACAGCCCTGACCAAGGTTAATTATAATATGTCACACGTGGAGACATATTAAAAAGACTGTGGGAATAGGACTTAAAGCATAAATTTTGCGGGGGCCAGTGCCATAATGTAGAGGATAAAGCCACCACCTGCAGCCCCAGCATCCCATCTGGGTTCTACTTCAAGTCCTGGCTGCTCTACTTGTTTTTTTAATTCCATTTTATGACACAGTTTCATGGGCTCTGGGATTTCCCCCAACCCATCCCCAAGCCCTCTCCCCATACTGAATTCCTCCATATAGTTACAGCAGTACATTTCATAGCCAGTCATGATTCCTTCACTGCGGGCATGGACCATGCAGAGTCCAGCATCTTATCATCCAGATAAATTCCACAGTTTCATTGGGAGACCATCCTTGGTTTGAAAGTAGAGCTGGCAGAATATCATCCCCTCCAATGAAAAGTCACTACACAACAACTTCAACAACAGGAAGAAACATGGAAATTTACAACATCATGAAGTTAATTAACATGGTATTGAGTGACCAATATGTTAGAAAATGCAAGTACTTAACCACATCCTGTAACTACTTCCTTGACATCTCAATTTTAGTAGATACACAACCAGCTGTATATAAACCTTAAAATGGCTATAGGGTACTATTCAGCTGTCTCGTGTCTATTTTCATTTTTATATTTAGCACTGGCTGCTCTACTCTAAACCAACTTCCTGCTAATGCACCGGGAAAAAGCACAGTAAGATGGATGGCTCGAGTGCCTGGGCTCCTGTACCCACACAGAAAACCTAGATAAAGTTCCTGGCTGCTGGCCTTTGAAACCTCAAGAAACAGTTGTCTTGATTCACAAAGAATTGAAATCCATGTGTGGTTTTATTCATGACAGCACGTTTTTCCAACAGTTCTTAAAAACCTAGCATGTATGTCAAATTTCAGAATCAAAAGAGTGAACTTTGTTAAATGTGTAAATGTTAAATGCTATCACAAAGAAACAGTATGTGTTGACAGACTAGTTCTGTTCAGCATGGAAACACCTCATTGCACCCCAGAATGCTATTCCTGTACACAGGCCAACAATATGGACAAGCCTTTTGAAAAACAACACTAAACACACCTGCTTTGGCTGTAGAATGATTCTCGGTGGGCGTGTTATCCTGTTCAACGGATAACTTTGCTAAGCATCACTCAAAGCGGGGTCCAGGTGGAACCCTGGGCTGCAGGGCAGACACCTACATGAGCAGTCACTCCAGTCGGCTTTGCAGGAACAAAGCCACGCTAGCGTGCCTGGAGGATCTAGTTCATTACATGACATCAGCCTGTGGCCCAGGATGCCTCTGATAATTCTGCCAAGTTCAAGTGAGAGGCTTAGCATATACACCTGTCAGTCAGGTTGTGCTGACCATTAATTAGCACAACTGCTTCCAGCTCAGTATGGCAAAGGCGGGCTGCAGGAGCACAAACAAGGCCTCAAACATTTACTCTTTGGCCTTCCTAGATTGCTGGAGTGGTGTGGCTTTATTTTTATGCTCCGGGGATCCCATCAAGTAAAAACTATGATAGAAGAAGTCCATGGTGTAAAGCCCACCGGCCCTGCATCACTGCCCTGCTGCTCTGGCAAGGCTAGCAGCGCCCCAGCACTCCCTCCTACCAGCTCCACAGGCGGCAGCCCTGCACCCTCAGGCCACAGCTATAGCTCCACCCGGGGACACACCCAGCCATGCCAGCCTGTGGGTCCGGCCTCACCTTTGCCACAGCCAGGAGGAGGGGTGTCAGGGGTGCAGCTGCTCGTGTCCTCCCGTGTGTGGTGTGCTCAGCTGCCCCCCCACACACACACCCCTGTGGTGTTAAGCCAAGGGTTCCTACCTGCCCGCTGTGAAGCAGGCCCCGTTAGCAGCACCAATGGTTGAAAACGCCACAAACACTGGGACAATCCACGAGGCTGGGTAGAGGACGCGGTCCCCATAGGTCTGGGAAGGAAGCAACACGGACACTGAAGGCACAACTCTGTCGCACTCACACACGTCATGCGAGGCCCCACTGCTGAATCCCGACACTCCTGCCACGACCACCAAAAACTCTCACTCCTGGTGACCACCTGGCCACCTCCCCATCCCGGCCTCCCGCTTCCCTCACTGCTCTCTGCACAAGGCCTCAGCCCCAGTGCCCAGCTGCTCTCCACTCCCTGACCCCAGCAGTGCCCCAGCCCTGACCCGCCATCCACACACACCCCACCTCCACCCCTCACGCCCCTCGCCCCTCACACACCACACCAGCCACGCCACACGCCCTCGGGCTGCAGCTCCCGCGCCCCGCCCAAGGCCATGACGCACTTCCGCCCTCACCCAGAACAGCCCCATGGCGCCTGCGCCTGCGCCTGCGCCTGCGCAGCTACCCTTCCGGCCGCTCAGGCTCCCCACTCACCACGGCCACGGCCTGCGACTGCAGCAGCTCCGTGGGCGTCATGACCGTGAAGTAGGCGATGTTGATGAGGATGTAACTCACAGTCACCAGTGTGATCCCGATGATGATGGCCAGCGGCAGGTTTCTGGGGGCCGGTGGGACACGTGGTTGTCAGCTGGCCATCATGTCCTTCCCTCGGCCTCCCGGGCCGCCCTCCTGCGCTGTCCCACGCCAGGGCCCAGAGCCTGGGGCATTTCTCAGGCAGAACGCGCCTCCCTCAGGGACTCGCCAGTTGTGGAAGACAAACCACCCAGAAATCAAGGTCTGGGGTCCTCTACCACCACCACTCCTTTAGCAGCCACTGCCCTGAGCCCAGGGCCGCCACCTCACAAGGCTCAGGAGACTGAGGGAGGAGACAAGTAGCTCTCCTCCCCACCAGAGACTGAGGGACAATGGCTGCCGTTCCTTCATCTCCTCTTGAGCTGCTCCCAATGCAGCTCTCCTACCTGAAGGGGTTTCTCAGTTCTTCTGTGATGTAATTGAGCTGATTCCTGCAGAAAGCAAAGAAACATGACTGCCTTTTTCTTTGCTAAGGCGCTTGCATGATGGAGGATTCATCCCCACCACCCTCTTCCTGCCTCAAGATGTAGCATCCACCATAGCAATGCCATCACCATGAGGTCCTCACAGGGGCCAAGTCCTCTGTCCTTGAACCTCCACAACTACATAAAGCTCTTCTCTTCATACTTACCCAGCTGCAGGCATTTCCTCACAGCAGTGAAAAAACAATGTACTTTTTAGAAAAATGACACACTAGATGTTGGCCTCATTCAAGATGCTTTCCCCTATGGAAAATTCTCCTGAAGGAATTCCAGGGAAAGTTCTGGAAAGCCCCAGAGACAGTGTGGCTCAGGACTCTACCATGATCCACACCAATGGCAGTTTCCAGGTGCTTTGAACAAAATGGAAGATTCTTTGTCTCCAAATGCTTCTCAGAAGGAAACACCAGCCTGATGAGTGGCCAGGATGGCTTCTTAAGGCACATGAACACAATCTCATCAAGAATCTCCAGGGTGAAATACAACTGCCCTTGGATGTTCTTGGTCTTGGCAAGTGAGCAGGCAGCTGTGGCTGCCTCTAAGCCAGCTCCTCTGGAATTAGCCTGGCAAGGATTGTGTCAGGGCCCCTAGGCTGCCTGTCCACAGGACACCACAACCAGAACTGGGGAAGTGCAGATGTCTCTGGAGGTCCATGGCAACACAAAAATAAGGAGTGGGTGAGTCACATAGGGAAGCCTGAAAGTGACTCTGAGGCCAGCGGAAGTGCGAAGGCAGATGTCTACTTTTGCCATGAGAAGTAAATTTGGTCAAAAGGAGCCCCTGCCTGACTTACATCTGAGGAGTGCTAAACTTACCAACCGTCGTAGGCCCAGAGTCCATTGTACAATGCCAGACTGATGGCTCCCACAGAGATTTTTGCGCCCTCAAAAGACTGCTCAAAATTCCTTGTGTTTCCTGTAATTGAGCCAGAGTGCACAGGGCACGTGTCAGCTGAGCCCAGCTCAACTTTGCACTTATCTCTGTATAAAAGGAGGGAACTTTTCATAATCTCTGGTTACTAAATAAGCTTGGGTAAGCCAGAACGCAAAAATTCTGCTGCTCGCCTGTCAGGCTGCCTTCCAGACACACAGAGGCAATGTGTCTGTGTGGTGGGCCCTACCCACCCATCCCAATGCTTGTCACCTTGGGCCAGTAGGACGATCCCACTGACGATGATGATGGCCACGATTACCAGCTTGGCTGCTGTGAAGAAGTTCTGCACGTAACTGCCCAGCCGCACACTTAGCGAGTTCACTGTTGTGATGACCACTGGAGAAAGTCAAAGGAGGTCGGTGCTCTGCGCTTGCCCTGCTGGGAGCCTCCTCTATGCTCTCCTCTCCCCTTCCCATTATGCATACTGACAGAGGGATTTTTTTTTTTTAAGGCATGCAACTGATGGTCCTGGCCACCCAGCCAGGCTGCCTGGAAAGATAATGTTACCTGCAAACACCCCAGCCTGCAGCCCCTGAGATGCATGCGGCTACTCAGCATAGAGCACTGGCTACTGCCAGGAGCCAATCCTGCCCATTTTCTGCCCATAATACACCCCCACCCAGACTCCAGCCCCACACTGAACCTCTGTTCATTGGAAGACCCAAGATCAGAGTCTCCGTGTGTCAGGCCTGCCCAGATGCCAGGCATGTGTACTCACAGATGGCTGCAGCAGCCAGGAATTTCACCACAACCTGGGGAGGCTCGCAGCCTGAGTAGAAGGGTGCAGCCACGTATTCGGAGAAGCTGAGGCAGATGATGGCAAAGGACGAAGGCTTCATGACCACCAGGCTGGTCCAGGAGAAGAGGTAGGCAGGGATGGGGCCAAAGGCCTCCATCAGGTAGGGATACTCACCCCCTGACTTGGTGATCATCGTGCCAAGCTCCGCAAAGCACAGGGCCCCTGGAACACACAGAGGAAAGGTCTCCAGCCCCCTGGTGAGAAATGTTTGCCTTGGCACATGTAGCCATCCTCCCCCAAGGTATGGGGCCATGCTCATGCTGGTCCACCATGGTCCTCTCCCTCCTGACAACCACATGGTTGGGTTCTTGGTCTTTGAGCCTGACCCCTGCCTACACAGGCCCACAGAAAGGAAACCCAGGAGAGGGCACAAGGAGCAGCATCCATTACCCAGTGTTGCAAGGACCCCACAGACTGTCCAGAGGATGAGACATGGTCCCACTGCTTCCGTGTTTCTGAGCACAGACTTAGGGGAGATGAAGATCCCAGAGCCGATGATGGTGCCCACAATGATGCAGGTGCCGCTGAACAGGCCCAACTGGAATGGAAGGACAGGAGAGGTTGGTCCATGTTGCCACTGGGACCTATGTTCAACCCAACTGATCTCATGTCCAATGCCTAGGCACCTGTAGTCTGTGCTGCTACAGTGATAACAAGAACTGTTCCTGGAGAAGAGAAATATTAAGTAGGGCCAGCAATATGGCTTAGTGGGTAAAGCCACCACCTGTGATACCAGCTCAAAGAAGGACACTGGCTCAAGTCTCTGCTGCTGTACTTCCAATCCAGCTTGCTGCTGATGTTTCTGGGAAAATCAGCAGAGGATATCCTACTGCTTGGGTCCTTGCCACCCTGACTCCTGGCTTCAGCCTGGCTCAGCCCTGGCTTTGTTGACCATCTGGGGAGTGGCCATCCCGTAGCCCATGGAATATTTCTATGTCTGTTTCTCCTTCTCTGAGTTACTCTTTCAAATTAAAAATAAAAAGAAAGTATGGGGAAGAAAGCTTACTTTGAATAATAGTACTTAACCAATTAATCCCCATGACAGTCCTGCATATTTTAAAAACATGATTTATTTGAAAGGCAGAGAGATAGAAATGTACCATCTGCTGGTTTACTCCTCAAATGGCAGTAATGAACAAAGCTGGGCCAGGATGAAAACAGTACCCTAGAATTCAATGTGGGTCTCCCACATGGATGGCAGTGGCCCAAGCACTTGTGCCGTCCTCAAGTGCTTTTTCAGGTGCATTAGCAGGATCTGAATTGAAGTAGAACACCCGTAACTCAAACAGGTGCTCAAATAGGATGCAGGCATTGCAGTGGCAACTTAACCCACAGTACCTCATGCCAGCCCTAACCCCAAGTACTGAGTACTCAATATCACTCCATCCTACAGAGGTGGAAACTAAACACCAAATGTTAAGTTACAAACATTAGTTATATAGCCAGCCAGGACAGAACTAGTTGTGGTAGCACATCCCTAACTGAAACATCGGGTGTTATGTAGGGGTTTAGCAGATCTAGGCACTAAAGAAAAGCTCTCCAGATGCACCTCTTGCTGGGCAGAGGAAAGCACTCAAGGAAAGGAAAGATTAAATCAGAGCCTGGAATCCTGGCCAGAGGTGCCACATAGGGACAGGCAAATCAGGCCTCTTAGGGACAGAAACTCTGGAGAATCAAGAATTTTCTCAGTTGCCATTTTCTGAAGCAAAACCCAGCTCAGATCCACACATAGGATTGTATTCCTATGAAGTTTAACAGCAGACAAACAAAGCTGCAGTAATGGAAATTTAGGGCTGGGGGCCTGCCTTGAGTCGGGGAAAGAGAACATGCTGAGATGCTGTAGTTTGTCAAAGCTCACTGACCTGAACACTATAGCTGTATGCATTTTGTGGTATGTAAGTTGTGCCTGACCCAAGTTCCTGCTCTCAGCATCAGGCCCAATGTCCTCAGCCCCAGGCCAACCAGGGAAGATCTCAGTAGGAGGGGAAGACCCTGGCAGTGGACTGGCCACACAGGACTCCTGGAACACCCAAGCAGGGTCCCAGGGAGCATCATCCACTTCCCATCCTCAGCCTTCCTCAGAGGCCAAGGTTTGGCTCCCAGATGTCTACCCAGAAACCTCCCTCCTGCTGAGGCACTGCTGAGTCTGAGTTGCCCAGGTCTGCATTCACCTTAGAACTGCCCTAGCACAGGGTGGGGATTTGTTCAGCTGTGCTCTGCTGGTGGACCTCCAGGGGTCCCAGAGGACATCGCTGGAAACAGGTCTGAGATTGGTGGGGAGGGAGGGTGCTGCCCATGTCCCAGGACACCAGACCAACCAGCCCCGCCATCCCCTGCTCAAGCCCCAGGGCCATCCTGCTCCCTGTCCTCTGTCCCTGTCTCCAACACTGCCTGGTGTCCCGCCCACATCCCCAGCTCATCCTACCCTTGAAGCTTTCCCTCAGCTCTGCGTTTGTTTTATGCATGTCCTGGGCCCTCCTCCCCTCATCCTGTGAGCTGGGAGTCTTCCTGTCCCTCCATGTCTGGCCCCTGATGTTGTCCCACATGGAGACTGACACAGGGTAGAGCCCTGGGTGCCTTTGTGCCACCATCCCAGCCTGAAAGTACCCCTTCCTTCCAGGCCCCAAACAGCCCTAGGTTCTTGCCAGGCTCTAGTGCAGACTGTGCATCCCTGTCCTGTGTCAGGCTGGCTGTGCTAGCAGACCTCATAATTCCTTGCCTGTCAGACATGCACACCTGAGAGGACTCACATTTAGCCAGGTGTCACAGTGGGGACCCCAACCATCACAAGCTCCCTAAGCCTAATCCTCTGACCAAATAGAGGCCCTCTAGGTGCTTAGCTAGTGTGCACATGAACTAAACATCTGCATGTATGAAGTTCAAAAGGTCATGCTGAGTTCCCAACAAGAAGAAAGAGGATTATTCACTTAGAGATGTATTGGACAGAGCAAACCACCCACCTCTGGGGACCACTGCAGAACTCAGCCCACTGCTGCACAGTCAGATAACTTCCCCCCCACTCCCCTACTCCCAGCCTGGGAAGGGTCTGCTGGGAACCAGATGTCCTTACCTCTTTTTGGAGACTTGTGGTCTTGGGCTCATCACTCTGGATGGATTTCTCATCCTCTCGGCGTTTTCTGGGGCCAGTCTCCCCCATTTCGTGCTCCTGTCAGCTCCAGAGACTGTAAATGAGGCACAGGTAGGGTCTTGACCCATCCAAGGCAGACCATGTACACATGGCAGCCCCATGGTGCTGTTTCCTGCTTGGCTCTGCTCAAACACCACCAGTTTCTTAACTGGTGACAATCTGCTCAGCCCCAGACATGAAAATGTCATTAACATGAAGATGCTTTCAAAAAATCCATGGAAACATTTCCTGAGAAGATAAGTTTATTTTGGTGCCCCCTTCTCCTCCAGTAACCTATGCCCATGAGGCTCCTGAAAATGCCTTCAATGGAAAACAAACCATGCATGGGTTTACAACAAATTCATCTGTTAATTCTGTTTTGTCTATGAGGATTTTGAACTGCCCCAGACTGTTCAGGCCCAGGTGAGGATGGGGGAGAGAAGCCCCAGCTTCCAGATCTTTCCAGAGCTCCGGGGCTTGTGCTGTCCCTGGGCTGTGCTTGCTCTGGCTCGCAGTCCTCAGCTAGGACGGGCTGGAACATGATGCTTTCTTCAGGTGCCAACTTCATTGTTTTCCAAAGTACAACTGTCTAGCAGCTTACTGGAATGCTTTACTTAGCAGAAGGCATTCCAAGGAAGGAATTTTTTTTTTCCTTACAAATCCTTCTCTTAACACAAATGCAATAAAAAATCCTATATTAAAAAAAAAGATTAAGGTTCCCCCTCATGAATTACACACACAAGTTTATTGCTGCTGTGGTTGAAGAACATTGCTGAGGAAAAAAATCACTTCCAAGTCTAATTAGAAGACGGTCATGTGAGTGAATTCTCTGTCCATAGCCCCGTCTGACAGCAACCAGCTTCCCTATCGCCCCATCTGCCTTACCTTTCTCCTTGAGCTTGCACTGCCGGAGGACCTGCGAGTCTTGCTGATAGCCAGCGTCTGCACTGCAGAACCTGAGGAATGGCCATGGTCTGTGTTTAGGTTTGAAGGAAGCCAGAAGGTCCAGAGGTCAGCCAAGGTAATTATTAAGCCTTCTTCTCCCTTAGAAAGTAATTTACCTGACAGTGGAAGGGTAGTCTAATCTACCTTCCCAGATTATTTTCGTTTTATTTATTTGCTTTTCAACCCTTTTCTCTTGAAACCTATTTTCCTCCCTTATCAGCAGGATCCTGCAAGGAAAACTCTCCAAAGGGTGGAAATTTTGCTTTGATTTTGGTTTGCAATCTGGGGAGATAAACTTTGGAATCATCTTTTATTATCATAATTGGACGCTACCACTTGGACTAAAGGTGCTGTGGTGAAAATCTTTTCTGGGTTATGCTTACTCATTGTTCCCTGTGCTTTATGTACTTGGCTGCCCCTTTCTCCATGTTAGGGTAATTTTCAGTTATTTCACTGAATAGCAATGTTCTAATGAAGTCTCTCCATGCCCTTAAACACTACCAAGACATTTAAGATTGCTTGATGATATCACATGATTATTGGACACTTTCATTTACTCATTTCCTCTTCTTGTTTTTTCTCTGAGATTTCCCCCCACCCCCAGGATTATCTTCTAGTTCAGAGATTCTTTATCCTACCTCATCAAATCTGTTATTAAAGCTTTTTACTGTATTTTATTTGCATATTTCTAATATATCAGTTTAATTTCTCTTCAAAATTCCAATCATGGAAGAACTTTTCATTCATGTCATGAGTGAATTTTCTTAATGCTTCCTTCTGCTTTTCATTTTTTCAGTAATACTATTTTAAAATTCATTTTCAGGCATTTCATTGATCTCTTCATCTTCATGTGCTAATATTGAAATGAGGTTATATTTTGTTGGAGGAACCATATGATCTCCCTTGTCCGTATTTCTCACGTGCCTCTGTTTATTTTTAGCCATTTCTATCAGTTCATGTTTTACTTCCCTGATAATTTTGACCCTTGAAATATTTCTTGTGGCTTGGAAGAATGACGGTTCCTTCAGTGCGTATCTGGGGAAGTGTAGTGGGTGTAGGTGGCATTCTATGATCTGTGCTCCAGTGTGGGATGCGCGTCCAGGATGACACCCAGATCAGGCACGGTGGATCTCCTCTTTTGTCAGCACGGGTGAGGCAATGATCATGACTGTGAAGTCAACGCCTGACTTCTACTCTCTGTTGGCTGGTGCCCGGTCATCCCATGGTGGCCAGAACCCCAACCCACACCAGCTTATGAACCACACAAACCATCTGTGCAGTTTTCTGTGTGCCCAGAGACCCAGCTGCACGCCCCACACTATTGCACTGCCACCCCTGCCCCTCAGGACTCACTGATGGGTGGGGCAGGGTGCATGTGCTTCCTACCCTAACTCCAAGTCACTGAGCGTCATAGATTTATCCTTCCAACCCTAACAGAGCATGTCTGCGCACAATCAGGTATTACGTAACGGCTGCCACAGCAGCAGGACCACAGCACCTTCAAAATGGCAATTTCCGTAACAGAATGTAGGAAGAAGCATGTCCCTCCCCTGTGACGATCCCCCAGGATCTTTCCCTCACTCTGTTGCCTGTCTGGACACAGAATCAGTGTTGTCTGCGAAACTCTACACTAAGCAATGACTCTGGCTACTCTGTTCCCCTCCAATGTCCATGGTCTGTGTCACAGTGACTCTCACTTGAGGTGGTGAGCCACAGCTCACACTGGACACACTGGACACTGGCTGTCCTGCACAGCCAACTGCAAGAGGAACTTTAAAGCTCTGTCCTTTGTCACAGAGCTTCCCTAATTTTCCTTCACTTCCTCACCAAAAATTTGTCAGATTTCATGAAACACAGCCCTTCCTTCATTCTCTGTGGACAGGCAGGCAATGCTGCTGGGTGCTGTTGTGGTTTTGAATACAAGTGATTTCTACAACATGGAAATATAACCAAGGGCAAAATGATAGGAAAAGGGTGAGGAGAGAAAGTGGAGCAAGCACGCTGACTGCTTCATATATGGTAACCGTGCCACAGAGGGAAGAGGCAAAGAACATCCTTCAGAGCTGGAAAATCCAGCGTGAAGAGCTGAGTGTGTGTGAACAGGTGGACAGAGAGCAGAAAGAGTGAGAAAAGGCTGTTACGAGCCAATTTACTGTTCCTGCCACAGGGCAGCAGTGGATGCTCTAGCATGAGGGGGTCAGGGTCAAGTGTTTAGCACAGCGGATCAGGTGCCACTCGGGACACCTGCATCCCGCGTCAGAGTACCTGGGTTCGAGTCCCAACTCCACTTCCAATTCCAGCTTCCTGCTGAAGTACTCCCTGGGAACAGGAGGTGATTGTTCAGGCGGTTGGCTCCCTGCCACCCAGGTAGGAGACCCAGACTGAATTCCATGCTCCTGAATTGGCCTGATCCAGCCCTGGCTGTTTTAAATATTTGAGGAGGATACCGGCAGATAGAAGATTCTCTAATAAAAATAAAATTAAATAAAGAAATGTAAATAAATAACAATTTTAACAATAAAAATAGGAGGGATTGGTATTGTGGCACAGTGGATTAAATTGCCACTTGCAACACTGGTATCCCATAAGTATGCTAGTTCAAGTCCTGGATCCTCTACCTTTAAACCAGCTCCCTGATAAAGACCCTGGGAAAGAAGCAGCAGATAGCCCAAGGGTTTGGGCCCTCACCACACATGAGAGACCAGGTTGGAGTTCTAGGCTCCTGGCTCCTGCCTGACCCACATCCAACACTGCAGCCAACTGGCGAGTGAACAAGCAGATAAAAGATCTGTCTCTCCCACGCTCTAATTCTGCCTTTCAGATAAAGAAATCTGGTTTGTTCAATTCCCATTTTCTCCATTTCTGATCCAGCTTCCTGCTAACACACTGGGAAAGTAGTGGAACATGGCCCAAGTCCTTGGGCCCATGCTCCAATGTGTGAGACCTGGACACAGCACCTGACCCTTGGTCTCAGCCTTGGTCTCACACTGGCTATTATGGTCTAATGGGAATTGACGCCATGGATGGAAGATCTCCATCTGTCTCTGCTTTTCTCTCTGTAACACTGTCTTTCAAATAATTTTTTTTTTGAAAGAGAGAGAGAGATGAGTCAGAGTGATAGTACCATATGTTAGGCTGTTGTGTGTTATGCCAGTATCCCATGCCAGAGTATTGGTTTGATTCTAGCTGCTGTGACTGATTCAGCTTCTTGCTAATATACCAGGCAAAGCAGCAGAAAATGCCCCCAGTGCTTGGGCCCTGCCACTAATGTGTGAGACCAGGATGGAAGTCCTGGCTTCTGGCTTCAGCCTGGGCCAGCCCTGCCCTTTCCCTAGCGGTTGCAGAATAAACCGGCAGGTAGGAGATCTCCTTCCTATATCTATGTGCCTTTCAATACATAAACAGATCTTGGAAAGAAAGGCTGAACTCCACTTAATTTTTTTTTAAATGATGAAAAATAAAATGGGAATTTTTCAAATAGAAAATAATTTAATGGGAAAAATCACTCAACACATTCCTCAGTATGTAAATCCCATACAGTCAGGTGAGAGGAGAAGAGCACGTGGATCCAGCTTTCTCCACAGGCTTTGATTTCACTCGCGGCCTCACAGCAGAGTCCAGAACTTTCTGGATGACTCTGACTTCCCAGATATAAGAGTGTTGAAGGGTGCCAACATTCCTTCTTAAGTTACCTCATAAGAAAGGGAATAACATTTCCCTTGCCAGTTTGTTCTAGTAGTGAAATTTATAACTTTGTAGCATGTAAGTATCTGGCATAAAAAACTATTATCTAGATTTTATTGCACCTTTTACCTTTTATTGAGGTCCTTTTATCATTATTTATGGCTTTCATGATCCAGACTTGCCCTGTCAGGGTCAGGTGATCCAGAGTGTCTAAGGGTGCTCTGACAATGCAGGGAGCAGGTGGGGGGTGCGGCCACAGGCTCCGTCCGCTGCTCACGGCGTCCCCCGCTCTCCCCACCACAGGGCTACAAGAAGCAGACGGAGCTGAAGCTGGAGGACATCAGCTGCCGTCTGACAGAACAACGGGAGGTGCTGGCAGGCCAGACAGCACAGTACCAGCA